GGAAAAGCGTGGCCCAGCCTATACGATAATATGGATACACAGAAGTTAATAAAATGTAATTAGAGGGAATATTTTATTATTGAGTTCATAAAATTTTATTAACTTATAAAAAAAATACTGGAAAATCTTCATTTGGGCCCTCTCCTGGAGTACTTTGTTGAGTAGCATTTCTCTGTAGACCTCGCCAATGACATTCTGAGGCTTTGACACCAATGTACCTTTAGTGCGTTTGGAAGAAGTTCTTTTTGCTGGCCCCTTCACAACAAATGACCAAATACCAATCTTTCAATCCAACCAAGCATCACTATTGATATCCCAGCAATGCCAAGCCATTGCACATAAGAACAAAACCTTTGGCATTTGGTTCTTAAACCACATTGATGCTGAATTTGAATCATCTTCATCAGCAAGCAGATATGTAATTTGTGTGGTCCTCTTCAAATAGAACCATTTCTCATCAATATGAATGGAAACCAATCATCAAATCTTCTGTTCTCATCATTATGGCTCAGTGGTATCCACTCGACTTTCTTGAGTTTATTTGCAGGTGTGAGTAAAGGTTTGGCACATCCATCATGCTTTCTGATTTTGCCTTGTTTTGCAAGACGGAACAAGCAAGTTGTTGGAATCCCTGTTGCAGCTGAGACTTCTTAAATCACCTCTGTCTTTGAGTGGAACATTTTTCACTACTGCTGCCTCTAGATCTGATAGAGTTCTGGTTTCCCTGCCAGAGTTGGGCCTTTGAGATAACACATCCCCAGCAGGGTAAGTTAATGGATCCACCATTGAGTTAAAACAAGCAGCAGCAAATCAGCCAGCACAAAGAGAGGAACCATAGTTTGTTGGATAGCTGATTGTTGATAAGTTGCTGGCACTTCCCTCCTCTTAATGGGAGGTAATGGAGAGCAGACCAGCCAATGGATCCCTCAAGAGTGGAGACAATGGAGGCACAAGGTGAGTTGTTGGTGCTTCCTCCTTGGTAGTGGAGACAACAGATGCGTGAGGCAAGTCATTGGTGCTTCCCCCAGTCAGTGGAGACAACAGAGGCTTGAGGCAAGGTGAAGGATCTCTCAAGAGTAGAGACAACATGAGTGTAAGGCAAGCCAATGGATCCCCTATCAGTGGAATCAAGGGAGACACAAGGCTAGTAGTGGATGCAAGGTTAATGCTGGAAGCAATGGAGAGAGGACCAGTTGATGGGTCCCCTCTTTGTGGGAGCAACAGATATGCAAGGCAAGTTGTTGGCACTTGTCGGCACTTCCCCCCACTATCCCCTGTTGCATTGCACATGGATCCCCTATCAGCAGGCGCTGGCGAGTCCATTGATCCCCTATTAGTGGATACAAGACCACTGATGTTCCCTTTTTGGCCTGGCTTGCACTGGACTGTGGAGGTGCAAAGGAAATATTGATTTTGTAGTATGGTTTTGTGGTTACTCTACGCTATTCTACTGTGTTGTTGCTAGTCTGGTTGCTCATTGAAGCATAGGAGAACTGTTTTGTCTATCAAACTTTGATAACTCTGACTGCAACTATGCCATACCCCTTGCCAGTGTTGCCACTGGATCAAGATCTTTGTCTGATTCAAATGAATCATCAATTGACTTGCAGCTTGCAACTGAATGAGTTGCTTGTTCTTCTTCCAGTGGTCGTTTCATGGGGGTATTTCCTCCTCCTCCAGCAGCAAGTCTATTGCCTACATAGTTATCATGAGGGGGAATTATGTGGTGAGTTCTTTGATGTCTTTTACAGGAATACAGTCTTTCATCCATGGTGTAATCCACAGCAGCAGGAAGTCCTGCTGCTGATGCTGCAAGTCATTGACAGCTTCATCGCCAATCTTTTTGCAACTTGGTTCCTTACCTAGATTACCAGCAAGACCACCAATGTGCATTCAATGGTTCACCTTGGATCCACCAATATCAGCTTCAGCAATTATCTGAAGGACCTTGATAACCTTCCCTGGTGGAAGGGTCTCATTGATATCCTTGTCAAGATCATCTTCAGTTAGACTGATATCAACAACATTGACATGAACAGTGGGCTTATTGGTACACATGGGTGTTGCAAACTGGATGGCAATGTTATCATCAATAATCTTTTGCTTCAATGGCTGACCAAAACCATCTTTCTTGTAGAGCTTCTTGAGATAGCATCTTGAAGTTCTAATGACAGCATGCTTCCCATTGAACTGGTGCTTCTGTCCCTCTTGAATTGCAACATGTCTTGAGACTTTCTTGAACCACTTTGGCCACCAGATGGTAATCTGAAGGTCAAAGGGATCAAGCCACTTGGGGATGTTAAGATCAGCACAAATGGCATTGTGGATGATCATGCAGATCAGACCTGATCTTCATAGTAGTCTTCATCAGAGGAATCATCATTATTGGTATCCTGTGAGTCCCAAGTTCCTATGATGGTGGGATAGGCACTTCCCAAGATGATAACATGACTTCCATCTTCAAGAGACATGGTGTTAGTGGTATCTAGGAGATCATCAACTGTTGTTGCCCTCACTGCTGCAGGGACTGCAGGACAAGCTGTTTCTTTGTGGAGGACAAGGAGGTTGGGGGGACACTGACAGGCATCCTTGCTTTCTTGTGTCTTGGTGGGGAGAAGACCACAGGCAGGGAGATCACCAGAGGTTGGGGGGAGAAGATTGGAGGTGTTTTTTGGGTAATGAAAAGCTTGGTAGTGGTGAACTGAAGCCCACAACATGATCAGATGGTTGCTCCTCAATTAGGAGGTGCAGTCATGATGGTGGTTGCAGTTGTTGCAGCAGCAAGAACAGAGGATGGTGTTCTTGGAACACCCTGAACAACTGCCCCTTCTAGTGTGTAGTTGATTTTGATCAGCTCTTCTTCAAGAAGATTCAATTTCTAGTAGTAGTGGTGGTCAAACAATCATTACTGTTGTTAGTAACAAAGAACACAGTATTCCAGGGCCACCATGCCAAGCATCTGCCACTTACCTTTGCTCTATTGCAGAATGTAGACGCAGACTTCCAATTCTCATGCATCACTTTGTAATGTCTCCAGTGATCTGTAGAACCAGATTTCTTGTTATCCCAACCTTCAGTCCCCTCTGTCTTGATGTAGATCCAGTAGAAGTACACTACAAGCTACTCAATAGCTGGTAGATTTTGATACAATGTCTCTGATGGATGTCCTTTTCTTATTCTGCTTCTTGCTCCAAGTGTCCTTGCCATTGAGCAATTGCTTGTTGATTGGTATTGGTGATTGCTGCTTTTGTGAGGCTGAACTGTAGTGACTTAATACGCAAGTAATAACATGAGTGTGATTTTTTTGTTGCAGTATTGTACAATTAGTGTACAACTAGTACAAGAATTATCTTCTTCTTCTTCTTCAGTTTACACAGTACACTGTGTTAAAAGCAATTCCTCATGATTAAAGGAACTGTCCAGTGCATTGTTAAGGAAGATCATTCCACAATGAAGCACCAAAAAACATACTAGTTAGTAATAAAATTTTATTATTCACTTAGAAAAATTTTATTATCAGCATAATAAAATTTTAATAAAATTTTATTACCAGTAGAATGGATTTTTTTAACAGCATAATAAAATTTTATTATCAGCAAGATAACATTTTTGTCATTAACTTATGCCTCCCAAAAAAATAGAAAGATATAATGCCCCCAAAACAGAGTATTGCTGGTTCACAAGATAATTGAGGTTGTGCAATGATGTTGTGCATGCATCAAACTGCTTGCATTGTGCAGAAGCAGAAAAAAGGCTCTTTCTTTGGTACCTCTTCTGAGGCAATTGTGCCACCTAATATAATTTGATGATTTGTATGCTTCTCTGAAGGAGGCAAACACTGCCCATAAAACGTCCTAGAGGTTATTGACATTGTCTACTGACTTATTGCTTTTTCCTTGGGGATGGAAGTATATTGTCCCCCATGTGTCAGGCCTGGTAGAGCACATAACATCATTGAATATCCCAAGAGTCATATTTAGAGGACAAAGGGTTGCGCTTATGTGCCTGTCACTTGTAGCAATGCTGTCCATGTAAAATACAATAGGGACTCTAGCAGGAACAACAATGTACTAGAATCTTGGAAATTACCAGGCACTAGCTACTATGCAAAGTTGAATTTTCAAAATGATAGAGACAGGGAAGATACATAGCTAGATTTTTGCTGCTTGTGTTTGACACTTAAAAATCTGTGCATTTGATAATGGCATTTTTGCAGGTGGAACCAAATCTTCCAAAAGGATAGCAGTAGTAGTAGATCCAATGCTTAAAATTTATGTTGGTACTAGTAGACCTGTCATGATTGATGACAACATAAATGTTGGTGAAAGATGAAAAGAAAATGGAGCCATCAAGTGTACATTCAAGTATGTCAAACTGAAAAATGGGTATCAGGATCCTGAAGTTATCAGCATTGATGGATTTTTTGTTGGATGTGTAGATGCCAAGAAAGTTGAATGGATTGAGGTGGTACTGGAAGGATCTTCTTACCTTTATATTTACAAGAACACCACCAACAACAATAGTACTCAGCAACATACATAACAAATCAATTAATATCAGAAACAACAAACACCAGTCACAGTTCTTGTGCTTTCATTGTTGATTAGCTTCTAAATTCTTGTTTATACTACTAGGAGCATTACTTTCCACCTTGCTGGCAATCACTTAGTAGTTTTTGCACTGTAGTACAGTAACTATTTGTGTTAGCGAGTCAATCTCCCTTTGTTGTTGAAAAAGAGAGAAAAGAAAAATGATGGGAAATGATGGGGCAACAGAAAAGTAATACAGTAAAATAGTACAGTACCAGTTATTCAGTCTTACTGTTCTGTACTTCGTGACCCCAAATAGAACTTCCACGCGGAACAGTTCCGGCCAACCGAAAATATTGCTGCGCCCTTCATGGGACGGTACGACTTGTAGTCGTTCTCGTGTGTACTGGTACTTAATTCTGCGAGAATCCAGTACCTTACCGGTAGACGCAATAAATCAAGACGGGAAAAGATGGCTGCTCCGTCTTCGAACTGTTGTGCATCAAATTTGAACTACACGCAATGATCACCACAATGTCATCAAGCTGATCGTTGACAATCTTTCCATTTGCACTAGCTTAGAAAACAACGAATTAATAGTACAATGGCTGAACATCCTACGAATGCCGAAACAATCGCTGATGCGAAGATCTCTCCCGGAGACGATTATGAAGAGATTAGAGAACAGGTACGTGACAAGCAGTAAATGACGATCCTTGCCTCAGTATTGACGAGGTGCTGCAAAGATGCATTTCGCTCACTTCCCGTTGCGATGGCCTCAACCATCGTAATTTTACCACTTCTATTAACCTTGCTTAATTTCAGGACCGTTATTTGCCGATAGCGAATATCGCCCGAATAATGAAGAATACACTGCCCGAGAACGCGAAAATTGCGAAGGACTCCAAGGAAACAGTGCAAGAATGTGTTTCGGAATTCATAAGCTTTATCACATCGGAAGCATCGGACAAATGTCTACAGGAAAAGAGGAAAACAATAAACGGAGACGATTTGTTATGGGCCATGTCTACCCTTGGATTCGATAAGTATGTAGAGCCTCTCAAGCTGTACTTGAGTAAGTACCGGGAAGCAGTTCGAGGTGACAAACCTGACAAAGCGGCTGCAAGAGCTAGCAGTGCGGGGGTCGACCAGTCTAAGCCGTAGTCTTTTTCAAAACGAAAGCCAGCGAAAATGGGAATCCATCAACGCAAATTTATGTTCAATATTTGGGAATGAGGGAAAGAAGCGACAAGGGAATGCACACACGGACGATACCCAATCCCATTGCTTCGGAGGTCGAGGAGAATTAGGGAATGATCCATGCATTTTTTCAGGAATTCTCGTTTGAGAAACTTGTAGTGCTGACTTGAAATGAGTTCTTTGGGCTCGTTTATGGATGAAATGCAAGAAAATACCCATTGCATTCAACATATCACTTATCCTGGTTGTCCACACAAACTTGATAGCTTCAGAATGCGATTCCACCACCAATATATCCAATGAAGTGAACATTAATTGTTTTTATCTCAGCATTAATAGGCTAGCGTACAAGGTCTTCTGGGGACCTTCGACTTTGTTCTTCAGCACAGCACCTAAATGGCTTCCAAAATCATGTAAATAGTACTTCACTAGTATTACTAGTAGATAAAAAGCACTTTCTTATTTTCTCTCAACGATGTGGTAATACTGAACAACATGTCCACCGAATAAAGACAGTAGATGTTTTAGCTATCCTCGTCTGCCTGCCTAATGATAATGAAAAAGTTTCCGTCTTTCAAGTGTAGCAAATCTTGTTCCTTTTATCACATAAACATTGGAAGTAAAAACAGTTTCTTCCCAGGATTGGTACAGTAGGGGTACCGCTAATAGTACTAGTAAATTTTTCTATCTTAATTGAATTCTGGTGGTCATTGTTAAAAAAATAAGAATGGAAGTACTGGAGAGGGCCCAAAATGAGTTTTTTTTTCAGTTTTCATGCGAAGTGTGCAAGTTTTAACTGGATTCTGTCAATATAACGATTAATGCTCTAGTAAAATAGTTCTTCAGGATAGGAGTAATGAAAATCTGTTATTTGGAGGTTTGCTATACAATAATTTTATTATCAGGAGAGGGACCAAAGGGACCGTTTTTTTAATATTTTTGCGCGATCCGCGCGCTTTTAACGGTATTTATGTAAAAATAACAGTTTATTTTCTAATCTAGTGTTCTTCAATTAGGGGGTTATTCAAATTACTGCTTTCGGGGAACATGACCATTAATTAAATTATTGTCACATGAAAAACAATTAAATTAAATTAACGAATCAATTAAATTTAATGAATCGCTTAATTAAATTTAATTATCCGCTTAATTAAAAATTAATTAAATTTTTATTAATGATTAAATTAAATTTTTATTAATCATTTAATTCAATAAGCCAGCATGACACGCTGGCATACATTCACAGCATTGCACCCTATGTACGGACTGAATCCCAGCAGCTGAGCAAACTGGAGACCAAAAATACTGATTTATGCAGCTTCCTGGTACAAAACGCTCGTAGAAATCCTGTAGAAAATTCAAAATCAAGGGGGTATACTGTCCATTTTGTGTCTTACTGTCTTTACCTGAAATTCCCTCCAGCACGCTGACAGCAGCGGAGCAAACTGGTGACCAAAAATGCTGATCTTCAGCGGAGCAAACTAGAGACCAAACTCTCGTATAATATGATCGATTGTTTGCGGATCTATCATGGTTGTCGGTTGTTGTTGCTGCTACTAATTGAGTTTTGTGCTTGATGGGGAGATATTTTAATTAATTGAATAAATAAATTTTATTAATCGATTAATTAAATTTAATTATTCAATTAATAAAACTGACATCATGAATGCAACGGATACGTACGTACTTACGTACGATACGAAGATTCGAAGGAGTGAAGCATCATACCATTCCTACGTACCTTTCTTAAGGTACCATTCATATGTATGTATCATAGGATCCTTCGTATTGAAGATCGTAAGAGGTCCATGATATCAAGTCGAGAATACCTCACGAAGAATAGAGATGTCACGAGTCCGGAATAGAAGAACCTTCATGTAGGATCCCTACNCCATGATATCAAGTCGAGAATACCTCACGAAGAATAGAGATGTCACGAGTCCGGAATAGAAGAACCTTCATGTAGGATCCCTACCAGGTCTACATGAAGATCTAATCGGAACTTCAGAATTCTCGTGAACGCGCTTGGTAATCTTAATCTTATAATTTTATTTTCATACACACTTAAACATACTAAGAGTACACGTAATCTCGTGCAATGAATAATAAAATCCTAATCTGGAGAACCACCCCTTAATTGGATTATTTGAATCCCCAAAGTGGCAAACATCATATATATGATAGCTGTTAAATTAATGTCAAAAACGTTAAAATGCGCGCGGATTGCACAAAAATATTAAAAATCGGTCCCTTTGGTCCCTCTCCAGCAAAGTCAGTTTTATTCACAAAGTAATAAAATTTCTTTATGATGGCATTGATAAAATTTTATTACTGTATTGATAAAATGTTAATAATTTTTTAATTGTGTTAATAAAATTTTAATATGCAGGAGAACAACCGATCGGCAAGAAAATCAGTCCCATAAGACTAAAAAAGAAGAACATAGAGCATGCTGATTGGCATGCAAATAAGATTCAACACAGTTCATTTGATATGCCTTCTACGAGATTCCTCACTGTGCATGGGGGGAAGGTCACTATTTGGAAAAATTCTTTCTAACTTGCCAATAATTAAATTTTATTGATCAATAAGTTTAAATTAATTAATTAATTAAAAAAAGATCAATTAAAATTTTATTAATCTTTTTTTAATTGATTAATAAAATTTCATTAACTGATTAATTAAATTAAATTACTTGTTCCTCTCTACTGGTGGTAGTACAAAATGCTACACGCCAGCAATTTTTATTATGGGATTAATAAAATTTAATTAATTGATTATTAAAATTTAATAAATTATTAAATAAAATTTTTATTAAATGCTTAATTAAATTTAATTAATCCCATAATAAAAATGACCTTGCCGCTGTTCAAACTTTGTTATCGGGGTTCTCCCCATTAAGTAGAATCATATAGATCCAGCCATAGAATGACTCATATGGAACAATAGCCGTTATCTAAACATAGAACCGTCAAAAACACGCAAGTCGAGCGAAAACATAAGAAAACCGTCCCTTCGGTTGCTCTCCAGGATATTAACTGTATCACATCTTTAATAAAATTTTATTAAGCACTTACTAAAATATTCGTAAAAATTTGTTAATGCTATATAAAATTTTATCATTGAGTTAATACACATTCACAAGAAATAGAAAAAGACTATGCCCTAAAAATAGACAAATAAACAAATAGGTACATGTCACAATAGATTTGGACTGTTATGTGAACAGATAGATGTTAAAAACCCATGCTGTGTGCAGAAACAGGAAGAAAATGCTCCTTTGGTACCCCTCCAGTCACTATGAATATTTAACCTCATGAACTAGAAGAGGCAATATGTCAGCTAGGGCCATTACTTCTCCTGACTAGTGGGAAGAAGATCTTCTGGTCATGACGTTGTTGTTCCCAACATTTTTGTCTGACAACAGACCAGAAAAAGCTTTTGGTCAGGATGTTGTTATTTAGTATGACATTTTTGCCAGACAGCAACAACACTGACCCAAGCCTCCAGTATCCAACCCAGACCTTTCCTTTGAAGAACAATGCCTGGAGTACATGCTAAATTAAAAAAAATTCTTAATGTTATTTAACCTCTTGAACTAGAAGAGGCACTATGTGGGCCAGAACCATAGCTTCACCTGACTAGGGAGAAGAATGCTCCTAGCTGCTTTGAGGGGTGGTGCCTCCCTCTGAGGAAGTTTTGTGGAGGCGCAACCAGGTTTTATGCATACTGACAAGCCAATCAAGGCCTGGGGTTCAATTCAGATGACATAAAAAGAGTTCCCACATAGTTTATATGGATGAGAGCCATGTCATAATCATTTCAAGGTGCACTGCCATGCCAAAAAGGGTAAGACATAGCACACAGTGACCAAGGAAATGAGTGCCAAGCACACTGCCAAGCCAATGAAGGCAAGGATCCTCACAGTGTACAAAGACACAGGTGTTGGAGGAGTTGTAAAAAAGAAAAATCAAAAAGAAAACTAAAACAACTTTTTCAAGTAACTGCTGGTCCTACAAACAAAAGGAGCAGCTGTGTGTGAAGCATCTTCTTGGAGAAGAAGAGAACTGGGGATAGATTGATAAGATCTGATAGATACTGGGGGCTGGGGTGTTGTTGGTGCCTTCCAGCACAAGTGTCGGAAACAACAATATCCTGACCAGAAACTGATTCTGATCCAAAGAACAGGGGTAGGGTTCAACAGACACAGGCTAAGGTACCATTTGTACCGGAGTGTCATACGATCCATCGTTTGGGAACAATACTGAACACTTCAATCCATTCAATTGGTGTACCATGTATCTGATCATTCTGTGAAATGCTAGCAGTATAATTATCAATACACTGGTGATTATCAATGACAATAAGCCCAACACTAATAGTATGTAGAATGGCTAATTTCTTGAGTGATGGGATCTATCTAGTATGTACTATTCATATTCCCCAATCGTGCTGGGGGGTTATCTAGTGGAATTCTTTATTACCTCTTATATATCAATATGGGAACAGCGCAACAAAGATCTTCATGGCTACACAATTACCCAGAAGCAAGCCAAGCATCGACAGCGGGTGGTAACAAAAGTCCGCACTCTGTTTGAMCTGAAATCACAGACATGTCCATCCCATGCCCATCTCTTCCCAGAAGACGTGGAAACCTTTTTATCAACTGCATCTACTTCTATGCTCACATATTACCTTCAAGACTACGAGAAAACGATTCTGGCAGGTGTCACCAAAGCAACACTTGCCTCTGTCTCCAACACCCGCCCAATTACCCAGTACTTTACATCMTTGCCACATWGTAAGCAACCACYGGAGAGCGTCACACAAGATTCACTGGTCTTTGACGCCTACTCCAAAAAGAGGCRACACAAACAGCCTGTCGCGCCAGAGACTTCTTTGGCTACTCCTGTCAATTCTTCCAGTTTACTTCAAACCAAGCTCAGTCAATACTTTTAATTCCAGTGAAACCAACCCCTGGTCGCACTTCCACTAACACTCCTCGGAGGGAAGTGCCGCCCCTCGGAGCAGCTAGGAGCATTCTTTCTAACGAAAGCTGTGGTTCTGGCCATATAGTGCCTCTTCTAGTTCACGAGGTTAAAAATAATATTAAGATTTTTTTTTTTTGTATGTACTATTCAGGTGCTACTACACAGAGGGAGGCCAAAATTGGGAGATCTTGCACAGACTTCTTGTTTCTACCATTGTACTCATGGCATGTGCATCTTTTTGAAGAAATATTGATAGGACACATTTTCTCCTACTAGTACAACCTGGTCACACCTCCACAAACACTCCTTGGAGAGAGGTGCTGCCCCTTGGGGCAGCTAGTAGGAGCATTCTTCTCCCCAGAAATTATGAGCGATTCAAAAATAGCTGATTTAATTGTACATTTGTAATAGTGCAATAATATAATTAAATACTCAATAACCCCCCATAACCCCCCATATCACCAAACTTTTCTTTTCACTGGGATTTGATTCGTGTGCTTATCATTGTTAAGCATCCGTTGGGGACCAAGATACAGCTCAAACTGTCAGTTCAAGACTTAAACAGTTATACAGTTAAATTATACTATGTGTTGATTTTGGGCTATCTTTTTACCATAGAATGACTTATAAGATTAATAATTGAGTTGTACTACTGCTGGTGCAGCAATAGCATATGCAAGCAAAACTATTTGGTTGCACAATTGTGGGATTCAAAATTCAACATTTTCAAGGAAAAAGATAGCCCAAAATCTACAACTACTATACTGTACATTTCTGAGCCACATTTATACTATAGGGCCTCTTCTAGTAGTTCACAAGGTTAAATATAATTTTAAGTTTTTTTTTTACATTTTCTCCTACAATCTTCAATTTCTTTATTTTCATAATTCTCAATTTCCCAACATGCCTTGGGGTAATCAAAATTATTTATTACTACTATTAAACAGACATAGTCCAAATGATTTCCATAAAATTTCCATATTCATCTTCCCTTTTTTTCCTTTGGAGCTTTCTTCTTCCTCTTTCTTGGCTTTTTTTTGGGAGGGGAAGAGAGTTTCTTTATCTTCTTGAGCTTCTTCAATTCTTTGTTTTAGGCACTCTTCTGCCTCAGATTCTAGCAGATGGTTCTATGCTCATCACAGTCCTTCAGATCATCCTTTGACATTCTCTGCTCCAGGGCTGTCTGGTGGATCAAGATAGCATACAGCAGGAAAAGCTGGAGAAGGAGATGGTTTCTTTTAGTAGTAGGTAGTAACATTGAGATAATGTTTGGATGCCTGCTGTTGTAGGTCTTCTTGGAATGTTGTTGCTGCTCTACTAGTAGTAAGGAGAAGGAATTTGAACTCAATAGTAGTAAGTAATAATGCTACTAGTATTTGGATTACATGTATTCTGTATGACAGGTATGTACCGGTACTCCGGTGAGGTGCACGGCATGAGACAAAAAATAACTAGTGTTGGTCACTTCGTGATATTGAAGTGCACGTGAACACACCCGAAAAACGAGCAACTCGACGATTACAAAATGATGCCCCCGAATGATGGACTTTAAAGGGGGGATGTCCGCGTGGGTTCCGGAGGGCCCAGACTCGTTGTCTCCTGTTCTCTTGCTTGTCTTTCGGTTGAGAACTTGAAAATTGCTGGCAGGTTTTTAACGCATGGTTATTTTTTTGAAAATTCATTTTCGATGAGCCCGCGCGGGATGTACTGGCTCGTTTGCAAATCCCCTACGGCCAGGGGCCTGTAGGTACTTAGTACGGTAGGTACGAAAAACGATTTCGTTAAAGCCCGGAAGAGAGGAAACTAAAATATGATAGAAACAATAAAACCCCCCTTTGATTTTGGCTTTTCAATAACGTTTTGACGGACTCTTTTCTAGTACGGTCCAAGAATGGCATTTCACACGCAATACGTAGTGCGACAATAAAATCTAAAATCACCATATTCGAAATCACGAAATCGAAAGCAAGCTATCGGTATCCTTTGCGATTGTGCAAAAGTCTACGTAAATGAACGCATCAAGATGACGGATAGCATCAGATTTAATACTCTCCTTCCCATCATCGGATTTTCTATGTTCCTATTCTTGATTTGCATGACAATATTTGGATATGCAGTCGAACATGAATTGAACAGACTTTTTGCCCCCCGCTCGTGGGCTCGGCCAAGAGAAGTGAGTTATGTGTTGCCGTTTTTGCGCATCGGAACATTTGTTGAAGAATTTCTCAGTGTCGACTCCATCAGAGGCTTATGCAAATAAATCAAACTCATTGGATTTGTCATTGTCTTTAAACAGATCATCAAGAACCAAATCAAAAAGCCATACTGCTTCTCATGGATCTTCTGGGCACTCCGGATAAGCTATTCTGAAATGCTTGAAGGGATAGAGGGGACTGGAACGCGCAAAAAGGGTTGGTCGGGGACGAAACTTCGGTGTAATTTGGATGGAATTATTCTGATTAAGTTCGTCAATCTCTGCTTAAAAGTTTCTGTACTTGCCACGATTTTGTGTGTGGGCATTGTCTTACCTGTTAATTTCACTGCTAAATGCGTCGCTAGCGAGTACGGTGAGGAAGGGAATGCGGTGTGCCAAGATACTTCAAATGTGACGCTGACACAATTCGAAATGACGACGTTTTCTCATATACCATCACTTGTTCTTGATAGCAACACAACCTGGTACAGCCCAGACTTGTTCACAAATGCGTTCAACAAATCAACTGCTGGTGTCACGCTCAGGATGCTCACAACTGTGATAGTCTGCTTTATAATTTACACCTACACTTGTGGTAAGTACAAGTTAAACGTTGGTTTTTGAAAAGAACTGAAACACAATCGAAACCATTAGTCTTCAAAATGACAACTCAATGTTTTTCTTTAAACAACTATTTTTTCAGTCTTGATTTGGGAAGAGTGGATTCAGGTAAGAAACAATTTTTCATTTGTTCGAAACAATGAGTACCAATCTAAAAATTATTGAATGCCTACTTCGTTGATTTTTCATTCTCGGGAATGCTATTGTAGAACCTAGCTCTGAGGCGTGTGTATTATCTCGAATATAATCACTACGAACGTCGCAAGTCAGAACTCGAATATTTACAGAAACTTGAAGACCCGGAAGATATCAACACAACAGACCGACCGATCTTTGTTGTTCACCCTGAATTTAGAGACACTGTGCCAAACATAGGTCTATATTCTGTACTATTTCGCCTCCCTGGTGTCAATCTAGAAGACGACGAGTCTAGAGCAAGCAACTCCGATTCGGGGGTGAACCGTCAACTCAAAGTAGCGATTGAGTTTTTTGACAAGATTGTGCCAAATCAACCTGGGTTTTCAAGTTCGATCGCAGCACTGACAATTCTACCCGACACAAAACGATTGTCACAAGCATGGAAAAAATGGTTTGAGTGTGCAGGTAAAGTGAGACGGTTGAAATTCATTCGACAAAGATTAAAGGAGTTGGAGAATGATAAAAATATCAGAAGTGTTGACGATGCAGATCACCAACAAAATATCAGTTATACGGAAGTCTCTCCTAGTCACGGAATTCAGAGGCTGTATAACCTCGATTCAGACACACACGATGCTTTACCAGAACGTAACACCGGGCCTAGGACGAGAGTCTCGAGACGTGCATACGTTGGATCAGAGTTGGAAACTGCCCGTCGCACTGCCTCGATCGAAATCAGAGAAGAAACTAATATGGAAATGTATTTGAACGATGATGAGACCGAACAAATGGCGGTCTATTACAGAGAATTTGCTCGAAGGTTAGTAAAGACCATCTTTGTCTTTATCGAATTTTATTTTTTCAGGATTTCTAATGTCCGGTTTTCAATCTCCTTTTCAAAGTTCTGCTTCATGTGGGCCTCGCGGTTGTGATGAACACTCGATAAGGCAGGCTGACTACACTACTCTCAAAGACTTCGAACAAGAAGCAGCAGAAGAAGTCCATCTGGCGATCCAAGAACTCCATACGGCTCGAAAACAGATTAAAGGAGAGGAAACAAGTTTGCCAGAAATACCTGAAATACACTCAACCCCATCCGATAATTTGGTTATAAAGGATGAAGATGATCATGAGCTTGATTTTCCAGATGATGTCGGCGAGCTTTCATCTCATGCAGACGTCGAGAGAGGTGATTTTTCTGATACGGGAAATATGTTTCCCAACGTAACTCTCAGTCTATGGGAAGAGGCAGAGAAACTTGTTGGGACGGAACAGTATATGGTCAAGCTAGGAAACCAGGTTTTGAAGCGTAAATTGAATACTGGGCGCTGGTACAATCCGTTTGCAAAAGCGAATGCATCGGAAGATTCTAGAAGCAGAAGCAGAAGAGTCATGGAGAAGTTTATTCCTAGTGGGGTTCTTTCCAAGATTGCCAAGTCCGAATCTTATGCTGTTGTGACTTTTACATCACGCCAGGCTGCTATAGCTGCACGTCAATGCCTCAGTGATGGTTCCGGCTTGGAAGGTTGGAGAGAAGTTGATAAGATTCCTATTCCACCACTAGCTGATGCGGTGCCATGGAATATTTTTGACTGTCGAGGCTGCTGTAGGCCTGTCACTGTAACAATACCACCGCAACAACGGAGATTCCGTTTCAAAATGTAAGGTAAACAAAGTTGATGAAGGACTCATGATTGATTGTTGCTAACCCATCGGAACTAGTTATGTGAAACTTCTCCGAAACGGAATCTAATCATTCCTATTTTCCTTGTCCTTTTCTATCAAAGAGTTGTACTTTTTCTGATCGTTTTCTCAACGATTTGGACGTACCCATTTTAGTAAGTTCTTTGGGATTATTTTGCCAAGTATCGACGATTCTATCTTGCTCATGTTATTTGTTATTTTTTACCACTATAGTCTTTTCACTTCTGCTACAACACCAGAAGCTCTGGTCAAAGCTTTTAAGGAAGTCCCTAATATTGAATTTTATGCCCAGTATTTATCACCGTGGCTAAATAGTGGGATCATGATCCTCTTCTTTGCCATCCTCCCCCAAATCTTCAAAATGTTGGCCAACTCCGATGGGGCATCAACCAGTATCCAAGAGGCCGAGCGGCATGCGCTTGTTTACTATTGGTGGTTTATGCTAGTGTTCGTCTTCGCTGGAAAATCTCTAGGAAACATTGTTTGGTCCGCGTTTCGGAATAATCAAGCGAATCTTGAATCGGCTACGTCCATTTTACAAGATTTGGCGAAAATTGTTCCAACAACTCAATCGTTTTACTGGATAACGTGGATGATTACTCAGACTGGTATCATTTTACCTTTCATGTACTTCTTGCAATTCAACAACTTTATGTTCACAGCTTTACGGTGGCACTGTTGTGCTCGTGCAACTGCTGGCGGGTAAGGCTCACTGTCTGATTTCAATTTTCTTCGATCAGCATATCTTTTTCTAATCACTTTGTTTCCCTCTTTCTTCAACTCGTTCAGCGGTCCTGGAGGTGTTGTACCATACAGAGTTTACGTAAATTCTGGTGTCATCTTTTTATGCGTCGTCGCGTTAGCACCTCTGTGTCCTATGGTTGCCCCCTTTTCAACTCTCTTCTTTTTGTTCATCACGCCGTTGCTAAAATGGGGATTTATATTCGTATATCGGCCGACGTTTGATGCAGGAGGGATGAGATGGCCTCTTCTTCATAGGATTTTGATGATTTCAGTTATTGTATCCCAGGTAAGCAAAACTGATTGTCAGGTAGACACACGTCACTGAGTCGGTTCATTTTTAAATTCTGATTACTAATTAATTGCTTTGTCACTTCGTACGCGCTTCTTTAGATTCTCCTTGCATTGAGTCTTTTCCTGAAGAAAGCCTATCTTCTCGTACTGATTTGCGTGATCTCTATAATTCCAACCTGGACTTTCAAAACAGTTTGCGAGGACACATTTTTACAAAGTTTTGATGATGCAGCTTTGTTACAGACAAGTGAACTTGATGGATGGAATGTCAACGAGCAGATGTCATTTGACGAAAGAGAACGCTACAGAAAGTGGATTGTCGATTGTCACAAAGCGGCGTATGTACCAGTCTGTGTGAATGCAGAAGACAACTATCTGACTTCAGAACCTGCAGTTGTCGTGGACATGGATGGTGAAGGAATCAGAAGTGAGGATAACCTATTCCAACCTGGAGAGACGCATGACTCTCGCGAGCAGTCCAGCACCTCTTCTGTGATGACGAATGGGCGCCAACGGACGTCGACCATTGATAGCTACAATTCGTTGCGATCTCAGAAAAATTATGGTAATCGACAACCAGGTGCAATTTACCGTAGGATGTCAACCAGGTTCATTCACCTCAATTCAACCGGAGAGAACAATACAATTATTTCAGAAGAGTGCGAGTCAAAAGGGAGCCCGAACTTTTCTCCTCGTCAGTTTGAGGAGGCAGATCTGAGCACTTTTTTGAATGAAGACACAGACAAATCGTTATAGGATTGTTATACAAAATTAAGATTCGAGGGAATTTTTATGTATTTATCTCTTTCATTGAGAAGCACAAATTGAAACATTCACTCAGATATTGTAAAATGAGCTTCTTTCTCTTCTCGTCAACGTTTTCTCATTCAGAACGATTTCATTCCATCATAAGTACCGGATTTCAAAATATGGGCACTATTGAAAAAGCCACCATTATTCACGAAACGTCCATGGGATTTGCCTTCATTTAAAACATCAATCATGAGACGTTCCTTGAATGATGCTGCTCGTCCCGCCATGAAAATAATCTTGTCTCCCTTTTCCATCATGCCAGTTTGACTGAGGAAATACATAGTCTCTTCCATCAATTCTTCGGCCTTTTCCAACGAATCCACAAGAATAGAATGCGTTCCAGATGTCAAACCATGTGACGTGCTGGCGACGGCTGCGTTGGGCGTCAAAACCAGCGAGCTCACAGCAGGTCGAAATTTGCTTACGTAGCCTGCCATTTTTCCAGTATCACTCAAAATAACAATCAGTTTTGCCCCTACGTCGAGTGCAGCAGAGACGGCGCTAGAGGCAACGCTTTCCCCTTTGCTGAGTGGTCCTTTCTCGGCCACGATGGAGTACCGCATATTTTGATACAGGGCATTGTAATCTCGAGTTTGCTCGGCATTTGTGAGAGTTCGACTCATAATTTGAACTGCCTGCTCAAAATAAGGACTAAAGAACAAGAGGAATAGTCACCAGTCAATGCAAAGGAAAAAGGGTCAGGAGATTTTTAATAATACGGAAGGATCGAAGAATAAAACCGAAAAACCAATGTAATGACTCACCTACTTGCTGTTTCTCCTGACAACATGACGCAATCGGTCCCGTCGAAGACAGCATTGGCAACATCGGAACATTCAGCACGAGTAGGGCGAGGATTGCAAAGCATGCTTTCGAGCATCTGGGTAGCTGTAACGACAGGTTTGCCGGCAAGATTAGACTTGCGAATCATGTATTTCTGTGCCAAAAAGACCTATTTAACGCCAGAGAGAAAAACGAAACGGCAGAATATTAGTTTTAGCGAAAAAATAAAGAAAAATCAATTTATGTTGGTTTCTCTTCTCTTACTTTGGCCGGCGCGATATCCATTCCAAGCTTCGGATCAAAATTACATGTCAAACGTTAAAAGCAAATGGGTGAATAAGTGAGGTTTTGAATCAGTTGTAATTGGTGAATTGATGGTGGTTTGATAATTTTCAAAAGGATGATTAGTGTAGGAAACAAACAAAATGAGCTTTGTATCCAATTCTCGATGCTGATTTTCATGCATGAAAATACGAAATATTCATTTAGGATCTCTCTAACATACAGTCAAAGGAATTATTCTTCCTAATTTTCTGGTACTTACAACGCCTCGAGCAATCATAATTCCATCCGTTTCCTCAAGGATTTTGTCGAAATGTTCCATCCCTTCCTGATTTCCGATTTTGGAAATGATTTTTATTGCCTCCCCACCGTTATCGGCGAGAAGCTTTCGAAGATTAAGAACATCCTGGCCGGTACGAATGAAAGAGGCAGCGATGCAATCCACGCCATTCTTAATGCCGAAGTTGACAACATCGTCTACATCCTTTTCGGAAAAGGTTGGGAGATCGACCCTGATACCTGGAAGACATATATTTTTGCGTTCTCCAATGGAAGCGTTGTTTTCCACCCTGCAGGTGACCTCTTTGTTTGGTACATCGGAAGAGACGACGGTCAGAACTAACGCTCCGTCTGCAACCAAAATTTGCTGTCCTGGTTTTACACTCTCTGCAATTTGCTCGTAGGAACAACCTAGTTTCTTTGAGCAGTTCGCCTTGTACGAATAGTCGCCTATCAGAGTAAAGTCATCACCCCTTTTCAATTCGAGTTGCGTCAGTACACTCTTATCAAAAAGTCCAGTTCGAATCTCAGGACCCTTGGTATCCAAGAGGACTTTGAAAAACAAAAACATGTGATAGTTTGTAGGTTAGACCCGATATCACGGTATGTACGGTATGTGTGAGCAGAGATACATGAATTCAGAAAAAGAGGAAAAAACAGAAAGGATAGCGAAAGCAATATTAGCGGCGGCAGCACAAACTCACCAGCAATATTACTTGACTTTGATGCCGCTACTTTCCGAAGGCGATCTAAGCTCCGTTTGTGCTCTTCGTGACTCCCGTGACTGAAGTTGAAACGCGCAACATTCATACCAGAGTCTATAAGTTTCCCAATGCCTTCTTCAGACCAGCTTGCGGGACCGATCGTACAGATGATCTTGGTGCGTCTGTAAAGAGTATTGAGCGGCTCTTTGACAATGTCGAAACCTACGTTGCAATCCATGGTGAATGGGTAGGGTGTATCAATCGATTTGATTTTTTATGGGGTGTCGAAACTCTTCTACGAAACATTCAAACTGTCGACCAAATGGAAATTGAGTTTCACTGTTCGGGTTACCATCGACAGCTTCGAAGAAAATCTGCGATGTGAAATGGTTGTCGTGGTCTTCTACCTGCTCATGAAAGAATTAAAAGATCGGGTACCACATCGTTCCGCAACGAACAATTTGGAAAGATGGCAATGCTGTGACAAAGCGATAATATGGTATGCAAAAAAGTTTGAAAAAAACGCAGACATGTTTTTAGAGGTTTTGAGCAATGGAAGAACTATGAAGAAACATCTGTCAGCACCAGATGGAGCGAAAAAGTACAATACAATTGGTCGAGTGAGTCGTTTGAAACCGCCCAGGACTGAATGTTTCTTAATCACTTATTCGAATGAAGTTTCTCTTTTTCAAAATTTTAAGTTTTGAATTTTGGTACTTGCACTCGTACTACGCATGTTGTGTAATGTACGTAATAGAAGTAATGCAGTAAGTACCCTGTTACGTTCCGTGCACGCCGTAGCCTGTTGTACCTACTCGTACGTACTCGTTCCGTACGTACCATATCGGATGGGATGGATGGAACCGATGCCTCGCGATGCTTTGCATCACCATATTTTTTAGCATTGTGTGATCATCATCTGGTATCATCGACGATCTTCATCCAAAACTGCTTGGAACATTTCTTGCATCCTCATTCCTTTCTTTCATCACTCGATTACGTAGTCATTTACAATGGCGGCATCACCGGTAAATGTGTACACCGAGGAGAAGGCGCAGCGTCTAATTCGAACCTTCTCAGCCTCCCTTGCGTTTTGCTTACTAATTGGATGGTTTGAAATCATGATTTTGAGGCCCGCACAGGACATGGCACAAGAAATGGTAGGCATTTATTCTGATTATTAGCCGCTAATATGGATTTGAAGTCGACGATACCCGCTCTATCGTTATTCAGAGCAACAGATAACTTTTAAAACGTCGGATTTACATTCCATAAGAATGTATGACCTCACGCGAGGGAACCCGAGTCGTCGACCGTAGCATCATACGTCGTATGAAGCCCGGCTCTTGACAAACGGCAGCTACCTAAGTGTAAAATGACCAAAAATTGCTGGATGTCGTTTCCCTTCGTTATGGCTGTCTACGTGCAGCGAGGTTGTAATCAAAATCGAGTTCACTTCATACAAACTAACGAATTCTTTGCTATTCGATTCTGTTTCTCGTATGGGTATGCCGAAACTCAGGAACATTTGGACCCGTCAGAAATCATTAGCTTGCCATTCCCACTGGTCAATAGCACAATATTTGCGATTTTACCAGTCTTTGTATTAATGATTGTTTGGACGGTGTACAATCCTTCTACGGTCGGGTGGAAAATATTGAGTTTGATTAAAGTAACGGGATTTATTTTTGTCATTTTCGGATTGTGTGGGAATGATTTGATTGCCACCTGGGAGCATTCCGTGTCGGCTGCACTGTTCCTCGCTGCGTTGCTGTGCACGAATTTGACAGAGAAGAGAACCTCAAAACTTTTGGAAGAGTTGCCGTTTTACGATCACTCTGATTTGTTGTCAACCATTCGTTTGTACACAACTTTAGCATTTATTATTCCGTTTTCCATTCTGTCCGTACTGGATCATGGTGACCAAAAGCAACGGTGGCCGTGTCCTGTCTTCATGGGAGGGACCTATGGATTCGCCTTCGGCTCGGTAGGTGGAATCTTTCTTAACTACTTTAAAGCGAAGAAACTCGAGAAGGTCAAGAATTGAACGAAATAACGACCTGGGCAATCTGATGTAATATCAAAGTAGGATGAATAGTATTGGACAAGAAGATGGGAAAAATGAATTGGTGAGATTCCTGAACTGTCCTTCGTTGACCAATCCGTTTTGATCGCTTCTTTCATCGGGTTCACTTTCAGATCATCGATCGATTGTTTCGATCTAGCATTAGAGGTGTCAGAATTTTTAGTGAAATTATATATTTTGAATCTTCATTTGAAAGATGTTTTCTCAGCCCGTATCCCCACAAGTTATTAGTGGAATTTGATAAGAATCAAGAGGAGTGTAGCGTTCAAAAGTTTGTTTACTGTTAAGGGTTTGAAAGAGTCAGAAAGAAGTAACGAAAATTTTTGAATTAGAAATACCTCGAATTTTGATGGTAGAAAATATGAAATATACAGTAATTTTCGTTCGACATTGCTTTCGTTTCGATGTATTGTTTTTCAGGTGTTAGTAAATACTCCAGTGATATCACGCTATCCACGACGAAAATGCAACTTCATCCATTTTGGAAGACTTCACATCTTGTTCGCTTCCAGACTCAAAAGACCGTCGTGATATAAATTGGTGGGAGTGTGTTATCTCATCATCTAACAATCGAAGGCCATACCAAAATCGAACGAGATATTGGTTGAGTTACATGTCGACACTCACCTTACGATTGCACGCATCTGATCTGTGCGATTAGATTGACCGCCTTCGGAATACTTTCGCAACTTCAATCCTCTTCTTCCCCAGAGGTATCGAAGCAGGTTGTAAGGTAATTCATGAAGCAACGAGCATTTCTGTTCCCAGAAACATAAAGTAGGTATGGTTCGGCTTGTATTGAAACATCTTCAAAGTGATTTTATGAGTCGACGGATATCACGGATAGATCAAAATTCCTTCTCGTACGGTACGTTACTTGCCTACCAGTATCTGTTACTTCTACTATCCTCATGCTTTTCACGTATCCAAGTAGTACTTTTCTATCAGTCGAAATCCACTTTTCAGAGTCGATGAATGGTCCTCCTTGTTAGTTCGCGAACTCGCTGTCTGTGCGTTATGTAGTAGAAGTAAAGTACAGTACAGTAGTACCCCTGTACATCACGAGTGTTAAAATATTTCGTCGAACTTACGTACCGTACTACATCCCCTAGGGTACGAGTACGAGTATTGGTGCGAAATGAAGCTGTCCAGTGCGTAAAATTGTTTCTTTTCTTAGGCACTGCTGTATTTCTCTGTATTTCTTACAATGAAGTCAAAATTCATTGTGTTGAGCGCGCGCGAGGGGGAAAGCAACGGACTGAGGTTTTACCGTAGTATGTAGCATTGCAGGGGTCAGACCCTGGTATGTAGTACGTATGTACTGGTAGTAGAGTAAATAAAGTAAACTAAAGAAAGTATTTTAACATAGTACAAGTATATACGGAGAATACGAACGTGTACTTGAAAACTAAAAACTGCAACAAAAACCATCTTTAATGTGAAACAGAAAGCACCGAAGCGCCAACCACCATGGTGAAAGCTAAACCGAGTCCTCTTTGTTTTGCATCCTTATTTTAGAGGAAATCCATTAGCGAAGAAACTCATTTAGTTTGACGGACGAACGGATAAATACGTGCAGTATATACGGAAGAATAACGGGCATGCTTTGTTTTCGATGCTACCCCCGGAGCCGCATTCTGTTTGTCCTGTTGTTATTGTTTTGTACCTCGACCGGCACTTTTGGCGGAGGCATCGATCCTTACAGAGTTCTGGGTATCTCGCACAATACTTCCAAAAAAGAGATACAAAAACGGTACAGAAGGTTGTGCCTCCAATACCACCCGGATAAAAATGGCAACAAATCCATGAAGGAACGAGAAAAATGCGAAAAAAAATTTAAAGAGGTGCAAGAGGCATACGACATGATCCAAAATGGTACCTGGGAAAGCCGTCCGCAATCATACACAAGACACGGCACGAGCTCTTACGCAAATACGCAAGGAGCGGAGTCTCTTTTCCGTGCATTTGGGGGGAACGGCAATTTCTTCTTCTATAGGACAAATGGTCCTGGGTTTGGAATGCAAACGCCGTTTCCTTCGAAGGGTGTTGATGCCCCGTTCAGCATGGATGCGTTTAAATCCATTTACGTACAAAAAGTAAGAGTGCCACTCGAAGATTTATACAAGGGAGTCCAGTCGTTTCGTTTCGAGTTACGCGACAACCTATTCACACGATACAAAGCTGCGATCCGAGGCAAAAGCATGTGTTATTCCCTCATGTTGTCTTTTTACGCATGCGTTCCTTTCATCAGATCGAGCAAGTTATTGGCCACCGTGGTTGGATCTATTGTTCTCCATGCAACTACTCCAGAACCCGATCCCCGAGCTTCCTACGTTACCTCGCTACGAAAAGGAGCCAAAGGCGGACATACGAATGTAAAATTTTCGAGCCCCGGTATCGATCATCGACCCGGAATCGAAATAATTTTTGAGATTGAAGAGAAAGAGCATCCTGTTTATCGACGGGTGGATAACAATTTGCACGCCGAAGTCACAATCACGAGCAAGCAGGCTGAAAAAGGATGCAGGGTCAAAATGAATGCATTGGATCGCAGCGAAAAACCAATCGAAATTACCATTCCACCGAAGACCTACAGCTACGAACAGCAGAAAAAACTACAAAAACAGAAAGTTTCTTCGTCATCAAAAGCCATATACGACAATGTTATCAGGATACGCGGTCGAGGTTGGCCCATACGGAACACACATCATTCTGATGATCATCCAGATGTTTACCTATATGGCGATTTATTTGTTACAGTGAAAGTTTCGAAAGAATCATTCAAGAGGCGTGGCAAACGGGGTTGACATTTTTTTTAATGAAATAAAGTAAGGCCTATTCCTAGGGGACTGCTACTATGAATTTCAGGGATCTTTTCGCATTTGTGACCTAGAAAACTACGGATCGTCTTGTGCACTTCAAAGAACACCTTAACGAATTTCATTCTACCACCACCATCTTTAAGCGCCGAGACCCATCAGTGACGCTATTCGATTGGCAATACCACCACTATCCGGCGCAGGAGTTCCCTCACAACCGTCCTCGGCCGACAACCACATGGAACTGTATTTGTCGTAGTGCAGGTAGAATCGATGATGGAGGGCAAACGCCTTGGGTCCAAACCTCTTTCGAAAATCAGAGAATCCTTCGGCTTCGAGACGGTCCCCCTTTCTCCAAACCCTTCCACTGTCGTGACTCCACCCATCGTATCCCTTTATTTCCTCGCGAGTCCAACCCTCTGGATCGCTCTCCGTTTCGTCGCTGAGGCTCAGCTGCAGAACAAAACCCATGCCACCACTAGCGTTAGGAACCTGGCGGATTTCTCGGCCGTGAAAAACACGGATGTTGTCTGCGTCTGCGGATTGGGAGTATTCCGATACCTGGTGCATACGCAGGTGCGAGGAGTCAAAGATGAAAGGCTGCTCCTCGGAACCGGAGGCGGCTTTTGCCACGCGTTCGAGGTGTGCCTTGAGTTTCTCCGATAGTACGAGCTGAAACATCATGCCCCCGCAAAAGTTGAGGGTTGATTTGCTGTTGTGGAGATCGATGAGGTACTGGGCTGTATTTCCCTCGTAGTGAGCATCGCGTTCTTCAGGGCGAAACAGATACGAGGAGGCCTCGGAGGAAGCCGCAGATCCTGCCATAGCGACGGACGCCCGGGCATGGCAACTGCGACCACCGGACACGGCAGGAATTCGCGGTTGGTAAGACATCGCCACAAGCGCATGGAAGAAAATGGAGAAAAGTATATTTTTTAGGATCATCCTTCTTGTTGTAGATCAGTTGTTTACTTCTGAGGTTCTCTGTGTGTTCCACCTTGGTAGATTTCGAACTGTTCAAGTGTATGAAGATGAACTTCACATTTTACTCTACCATACGGTAGTACTGTTCGTACTGCATTAAATTAAATTAAATTAGATTAAATTGCAAATCCAAAATCTCAGAACACATCCTAGGATGCACGCGCGCTAGTACTAGTAATAGAAGTACGAGTACCATGTACGTACTGTACCGTACGAGTAAAAGAGTTCGCGAGTACCAGGTACGGTACCGTACAGTACGGTACTTCTAACTCTTTGGGGCATTGATTCACTCTCTGTTTCCGCAAAAGAAGCTATGTCAGTTTTTTGTTTTATGCCTGGCATGCGTTTTTGTCGCTTACGGTGTGCGCGAGAGTCCAGTCGTCTATTCAATCGGGTTTAGTGAAATGGAATCGCGGACCGCAGATCATTAAAATTCCGAAGATCGAAGATCAGCTTCAATCATGGTTGTTCCACGAGTTCCAGTTTTTGGACTGTTTGTGTGAAGATGGGCACTGGCATGCCAGACACTACTGAAGTCAAGCACGGAAAACCTCCGTTCGATCCCATTTCCTCGACGTACGGTACTATTACCTTATATCACACCCCGACGGCACCAAATCTTCTTTGAATTAACCAAGCAGAGGCTAGAGAAAGACTGGCGATATTCACAAATAAGTACTTCTACAAAGCATTATCGACGCTTAACTGTGTTTTCAACTCTTGGATTCACTTCCATTTTCCATCCCCACGAATAATCACAGCTATGCTTCCAATTCTCTACAAGAATCGAAGTTTGGACAGTCGTCGGTCTCAACGGCTTATGTCCGCTATTGCAATATTGCCATCGTCAATTTTCCTCTTATTGTGTTTCATTAGCACAGAAATCAGTGGAGTGTCCATCGCCTTGGTGTCGGGATGGAGCCAAACGAATTTTATACAAAGCTTTGGTGGCAGAAGAACCCCCGTTTCATTCTCACCAGGATCATCGCAGTGGGCGTTCCGCGTCCGATTGGGAAAGGCCCCCGCCAACTGCCAGTCAGACTTTTTTGAGGATCCCTCGATCGGCATGGACAATTCCAATAGGGAAGCCAAAGAGTTGTACGCCGAAAACATGGGCCTCCGCGACTCGATTCAAAAACTGGAAGAAGAAAACGAGCGGCTGAAAAAGTTTGTAGAGCAACAGCACCAACGGGGGGCAGGGACGGTGTCCGCGAAGAAAAACAACAACGACAAGACGATTGTCTTGGAACGATTTGAGGGAGAGCACTTGTTTGATTTCGACACGGAACCTTCAACCTCGTCGTTGTCGTCGCAAGCAGTGGCTACCAATGAGATGAAAGAAGAATTATGGTGCGACGTTTTGGATGGTGACCAATGTCCGGTCGAACCCAGCGTATCGTTTGGAGAAGCCCTGCGAGATAGAGCCTATTGGTTGGTTGGTATGTTTTGTTTGCGTGATTGGAAATACATATTTCTTCGGATTGAACCCGTGCCAATAAGTGTTCTGTGGTTCATCACCGGCAATTCCCCTCTTCTAATACGTATCGTTTGGCATCGTTTTCACACAGGTCTTTTGATCATGCAATCTCTCTCCGGAATTATTTTGAGTCGAAACGAGCTTCTACTAGCAAACCATCCAGTCATTATATACTATCTGACCATGATGGTCGGAGCGGGTGGCAATGCAGGAAACCAAGCCAGTGTTCGAGGTATGTTCGCTGTCTCGACTGGGCGTGGTGCGTCCGGAATCATTTCTACCTACCTGTTTCACTGAAATCCACCAAACCATTGTGTTTTTTTGGCGTCCTGTTTGCAATACACATTTTAAAAAAATATCTTGTTCAAGTGATTCGAGGCATCGCTTTGGGAACACTAAACGAACAAACAAGAGGGCAATTTCTGATCCGAGAACTCAAAATGGCTGGGGCCCTGAGTTTGATACTTTCTGCCGCGGGGTTCTTCCGAACAATTTTTTTCAAGACCCCGTTTCCAGAAGCAGTGACCGTGACGTCGGCTCTATCCCTGATCGTATTTACTAGCATTTGTCTCGGAGCGATCCTCCCATTGATATTAGAGAGGATAGGAATCGACCCCGCCCATTCTTCCACTACAATTCAAGTGATCATGGACATTTTGGGTGTGGCGCTAGCCGTGTTTGTTTCGGGATTGATTCTAGATGGACCCCTGGGGGCTTTCCTTCTCCCAAAGCTGGGATTCTCTTAGGAATACCACCCTTCTAAAATAGAGCTAACCTTACAACATACCCAACGAAAGTCATAGACACTTCACGAGACCCTCGTTCTGACTTTCTGCAAAATCGTTTCACTTTCTTTCCCTTGAAAACGCTTATGAGATGACAAATTTCAACATGTGCCAAGAACTATTTTAACTTTTAAAACTTTGTATAATCCTCTACACTAGTCACAAGCATAAAGTACCACAACGAACGTCTCCGGACGAGTCCTATTTGGTTTGATAACCTTAAAATTCGTTTCGCACCGTTGGCCAAGTAACCGTGCTGTTTCCGACACTATTGTTGCCCCCAGTTCGTTTCGGAGGATCGACGTACACCCTGACTTTTTTAACTTTCGTTGAGCGATCGATGCTTCCCGACCTGTCAAGCAATTTCTTCAGAAATTTTTTACGTTTTGCTTTGATCACGAGCTCCTCCCGCGGCATACCATTTCTGAAGGCGCCGCGGTTCTCAAAACTGATTTCGCGTGGAATCAGAGGGCCAACTACCTTCAAATCATCGTCGTATTTCTTCGGGGGATTCTTTTTAGGCGGCGTGGTTTTCATACTCTTTTTTCTATCGCACATGTTACCGCACGATATTGTCGATAATAGTTCAAACGCAGTGCAAAGAGTGGCGTTTTCGGTTATTGAATCGCTTTGTTGGTGTTTGTCGTCAACACTTTTGGCAATCGAAGATTCAACCCATGGTTCCAGGGTCTGTATAGATTCACGACCATCTTTACTGTCGTGCTGGCTTCTACTCTGCACGGTCCAACTTCGGCTCCGTCCTTTGTTGCAAAATTTGATTTCGTTCGGATACGAATGATCTTCGCATGTAGATAACGCCAGTTGTTCTCGCAGAAGTCTATCAGTAATGTTCCTGAGATGATTCATATGAATTCGTCTCGTTTCTTCGGGAAGACCATCGCGATACTCGTCGCAAAGCTGCAGGGAACTGAACGGCTCGATGTCGAGTTCCTTGTCATTGGTGTGCGTTTCAGTATATTTCTGTTTCTTCTCAGTCTTTAACAGCGATCTCGGGTCGAGACAGCAACGTGTCATATTTAGATTGTGTTTCGATTGCGACAACCAGTACTCGTTAGCTGCCGCTTCCACAAATCTTGTAAGGTGTAGAGCGCGAGGTTGGAGTCTCTAAACTGATTTTTATCTCCTTCCAATGAAAAAATGAGGTCGTGAGGTGTTAGAGAAAAACAAAACGACTATCAATTTGCCGCTGTGGAGACAGTAAATATGGCTAGCTTCCGTCAAGCTTCATGCTGGAACCAACAATCAAGCAATTCTATTATCTGGTGCATTTTTGTGACTTGCACGTGTTTCATAAATTCCCACATCTTTTTTACGAACTGACAACGACAAAACTTTTAGTATTAGGCTACGAGTCGCCCAAAAAAAGAATTAGAACGAATATTCTGTATCAATTTTCGGCGAGGTTTGAGGCGACCGCAATGCTGGATTGTTCTTCCTTAAAAGTTTGCGAGATGATGTTAAAATAACGCACGAATTCGTTCTCGCTTTCTCGAACTTAATGTTTCGGCAGTCGATCATGGAGATAGGATCAAGAATTCCATTTATGGGCCTTCTCGCAATATTAGATTTCCAAACATCCAATATTGCTTGGCAACAAAATCAAATACTTGGTATGATCGATCTTTAAGGTTTTAACGTGGAGCCTCAGGTTGAACCAAGTACGAGTCAGGGGTCATAAATTTAGGACGATCTAGTACAGTACGGTATGTACTCATACTGGTACACATTACACATACGAGTACGTACATACGCAGGGGTCATGACTCCGGTACGTACGTACGGTCGTTGTATGTAGGGTACAGTGTTGTAATCTCTTTCAAAGACAGGTCTAGCCGTCGTCGCAACCGACCCTTCTTCAGCCATCAAAAATACGAGAGCTCGTACCTTTTGAAAGACACATCACCTGTTTCTCATTCTCGATAACGGAGTAAGGTGAATTTCTGGGTCTACCTCAATCCGCGATGTACCTATTCGTACTTTTTTACCAGGCCCAGATTTTGCTTGAATTTTTTCCACACCAACCTCAAAACAGCCACGAACTGAGACGCCGAAGGACGTAAAACGAATYGCAAACATAAATGTGGAATTGCGACGAGGATGTAAACGAATGCGGGGAGCCCATCGAGCTTTATCTGCCAGTTCAAGCCCCCCCCCGAAAGACCAACACAGCCCCACAAGATTCTCATATAGGAGGACACCACTGCTTTGATGACAATTTTACACCTTCTTGTGATGTGTGCGATGATAAAATGTTTTTAATGGCTCAATTGAGATTGCAAAATGCTTCCTCTGGATTCCTTGAAGATCGTTTTGAGAGATTTATATGTGCCTTTTCGTGTCCCAAAGAAGAATGCTTCGGGCAACTTGTTTATCAACAAGGATTCTCGACGAAAGGTGGTCACGGTGTTTTCAAATGCATCGAAAAACGCGTTCCACTCATCAGCAATGAGAACAAAGTCAAACCTAATATACCTGTGGCAGTCAACAAGTCCTCTTGGTATGACGATAATGACGATGGTAATGATGACGACGAATGGGGCATGGGGGATGACGATGATGTGAACCTGGAAAACGCTGTCGCAGCAATGGAAAGCAAGTTGGATGAGGGTGGTGCCCTTGTTATGGATTCGAGGAAGACAGCAAAAAAGCCACACGCTTCCTTGGCACCTTCGTCGTCTGAAGATTCCCTTAGTGCTTTTGGTTGCTTTCTTCTAAAGAAGCAAAACGAGCCCAGGTCTACCAAATCATTCTTGGAAGACGAAGATGATGTAGGACTGTCCGAAAGTGACGAGAAAATTCGCAATATGCTTGCAAGATACATGGCAGAAGAAGAAGACGAAGACATTCTCGCTGCAATTGGTGGAACAAATGCAACGGGCGGCGGTAGCGGCCCAACAGAGGAAGACGAACGATTATCGGCGGAGGATCGAGTACTTCGAGGTTTTCAAGATCGAATGAGACGGGCTCCTAGGCAGGTCATTCGATATGCCAACGGAGGCAAGCCGCTTTGGTCCATTCCCGATGTGAATCACAATGTACCAAATTGCCCTTTGTGCGGTGCAGAAAGAACATTTGAAATGCAGGTGTTGCCATCTATCTTGGACGCGCTAGGGGTCGAAAAGTATGAAACCAAGACCAAAAGAGAAGCCGGAGATGAACCTCTGGCACTTGGTGATCTCTTATCAAATGGACTGAATTTCGGTTCGATTGCTGCCTACACATGCTCGAATCCGGCATGTACACCTGAGAAGAAGGAAGCGTATTTGGTGATTCAAAAGAGTGTTGACGATTTACCAGAGAATGGAAATACGAAAAAAATTTGCGGGGATAACTTATCTACTCCTACGGTGGCAGTAGTAGAGGATCTGGACGATGATGCTGAGTTTGAACTCGACGCGTGAACGAGTTTACCTTGCAGTCGGTGATACATATTCGACGAGTCTCGATATGATAAGAACAGCGTGTTTACCAAGAATTTCCCAGATACAAAACTTAATTTCCTGACTAAACAGATTACATTTTCGTACAAATGTCACAGCGACGTACATTGCTACTTTAGCTTCAGCCATACGCTGCACGCATTGAATCTGAGCGTAGCGAAACAATTTTCCCAATTTTTAACATGGTCCGACACGCCTATTTGCCCTTTTTTTTTGAGGACGGCCGAATCTTTGGGCGACGAGATTTTGAGCTCTTTTTCTTGGGTACCAACGATACCAATTCGGAAGCATCTTGCTTTATTGTCACTACCGGTTCCGAAACTCTCTTCCCTAAACTTTCTTCTTTCTCCCCATCATTGTCATTGTAAGAGTCGTCGTGGAAAAAATCGTCCATGCTTGGTCCCTCTTCGTGCGGGAATCCCCCCATTTCATTGTCAAATCCCGCACCAACTTCTGGCTCGTTCTGACTTCCCCAATGTGAATTATCCCCCGATGCTCCTTTCATCTTCGTGTTTTCTGCTGACATAATAGCTGAAGCTTCCGCCCGTCTTTCTTCTTCAGCATCTTCTTCTACCACCTCCCCTTCAAATCCGTTATTTTCACCCTTCGTAACTTCAGTGTTGGACGAGCTCGTCGGAATTGCAATACCGTCTTCGTCGGTTGGCTCATAGGCAGGAGGTTCCTCATTTTCATGGGCTTCGATTCGTTTAGGATCCACCTCAAGATTGAACGCAGTCATATCTAAAAAAGTAGCACGGGCAGTACGGATAGAAAACAAAAGTAAGTCAACACGACAGGACAACATTAAACACATTTATCAGCACATGCGAAGTCATAGTCTTACCCAATGCAACTTGGTACTTCGGATTCAAAGCCAGTTCTTGGACTAAATCAGGATTTTTGATTAGCTCTTTTCGATACTTGTTTTTGAGCTGTCGACGAGTTCTCTTGTCTTCAAAGAATAAGGCCTCCATTGATCCGAAATCGGTCCCCAACTGGCTTAGGGCCAGATAGAAGAGCTCTGTCTCTTTTATCGACCACAGTCCCTTGTTTCTGGTCTTGCCATGATCACCTTTCGTTACGAAGGAATTATATGAAGCTTGGACGATGTTCAACTGTTCATCTTCCTCCACAATGTTATCCTGGAATTCTTCTTCTACTTCCTGTACTGTTCGCCGAGCGGGGAACATGACGGAGGATTCTTGTAAAACGATTTCTCCGTCAATGATTTGGACACTGGGTGCAGCATTTTCGTCATTAGACAAATTGGTGGTGGCAGAAGTTGCTCCAGTTTCTGAGATCTTAGAATTTTTTCCGTCGCTTGCGTTGCGTTTGATGTTATTTTGTTTGGCTTTGTGTGCTGCACCGCCATCTTTGTCTTTGATCTTTCGTTTTGGACCTTTGAAACGAGTGCAAAATGAAGTCAAAAGAGATTTTCCCTCTGGTTTTCCCTCCTTTGCCAAATGATTTAGCGTAGCTTGATCCTGTGCTGAGAGTATCGGGAAGCACGCAGATGCCGTGCGAAACGTGGTCGCGATCGAGTTTTCTTCACTTTCGAGGGGCAACGGATTTTCGTCGTTTTGTTCTTCCTCGCTATTCTGAGGCTTTGAAGCTGGGATGATAGCAGTTGACACAGTTGACGAACCGTTGTCATCACTACTAGTGGCGCCTTTCTTTCCATCTTCTGTGACAGTAGAAGCTGAAGCGGTACTAGTTCTCGTCGTCTTCCTCTTGAGAGAACTACCAATTCGAATTACGTTGTTGAGTGAATTAGCCTTTCGCTTTCGAGTCGCGGAAGTAGTTGCAACTATATTGCTGGCAACAGATGATGACCTTGTTTTCTTCGATTCTGTTGTTGCATTCTCCGTAACTGCTTCCGAACTATTTACTAGAGATTCTCCGATATTGCTTCTGGAATCTACCGACTTGCTTGCCTCCTCTGATGTCGCCAGTTCATCTACTTGAGATGGACCGGTTTGATCAGCAGATTTTGAGGAGGCATCATTTTTAGACGTGAATACTTTTGCTGCGGCCGAAGCCGTTTTGTTCTTGTTTGGGTTGGACTTCTTCGTAGCAGGACGAAAGGAAGTACGTCTTCTCTTCGTCGTCTTTGAACTTCGCGGAATCAATGAAACACCCGTACCTGCCATGGTATTGCCTATTGTTCAAATTTCTATAATCAGTCTGTTAAAGTTACGAATCGATCAATGTTCTGTTGACGGTAACAGCGAGCGCGTGTGAATTTCGATACGAAGGATTATCATCATTTCGTAATCGATTTTGATTGTGTTCTTTGCCTTCCACTAAAATCACAAAGACGTTTTGAAGTCCCTTTTTTGAAGCAAAAACAATCAGTGTCTCGTGTGGAACGGGTTATTTTTCATATTTTTTCGTGGCTCGTGCGTAGCCTGCATCTAAATCCGTTGAGACCCTACGTAGCTACGCTACGACTGCTTACTCGTACGGTCTTGGAAGTTCGTACCATACGTAACGTACTGCACAATACCAGAACGAGCTTGAAGGTGAAGTCCAAGCAAATCGCGCCCAAAAAATCGCGCTGTTGCCCAAACGTGGAAGTGTGAGCCACCCTTCTCAAAAATCAATCCAAAAATTAAGAATTCGCATCGAAGACGAGTACGAGTAGCKGTACGAGTACGCAAGTTTACGACTTCACAACAGCACTGCACAGTACCAGTACTCGTAAATACGTACCGAGGGTGTTACAGTTTTGCTGGCACTTCCTGTACAGTAACGTACCGTAGGTATTTAACAACTACAGTGCAATCCATTCTTCTACTTCGCGTACGAGTTACTACGGGTATTGACACTTTCCTAAAGCATGCATAGTACGGTACCATACCTGGTAATGTACCATACTTCCCGGTACGTTCTGCAAAAAATCCGTCATTTTGAGTTTTAAGGGAAGTGATCGCATTGTTCGAATTCATTCGTGCACTCTCATTGGTCAGGATAGAATTTGACGAGCCCGCAGGTCCGAACATTTATCAGCTGACAAAAACTTCATGATAGCGGGAACCTTCAGAGAGAGTATGGTTGATGGAGGCAGAAGTGAACCTGAAACCCACGGAGGTCTTCCTATCGTAGTACTGTATCTGATCCGTGGTCACCACGCTGTTGCTAGTAAACTTTGGCCACCGTAGTAGACCCTCGCGCAACGACAGCAATTTTTCGGCTTGGTGGTCTACCGTAGTAACGTTAGATACAGTGTGGTGATGTCTCTTCGGACAGACTTACTTCCTCTGTTGTTTCACGGGATTTTGATTATCATTGCTTTTTGGCGCCCCTCCACCACCTATCACTTCTTCTATCTCTGAAAATTTAGGAAAAGCTGATCCTACAACACTCGCAGGCTTATCTTACAGGGTAAAGTTCATTGTCAACTCTGTTTCAGGTAGAGCTGTTTGTTTTGTGGACTGGATCCTTGGCGGAGCCCAACAAGTTACAGGACAGCATATCTACTACGACTAATACGGACCGAAAGAGAGGCTTCCACCGCACAGTCTATCCAGATTTTGCAAACCAGGCAAGCTCCTCAAACTGAAAATGGGAAGAGGGAACAGCGGTGACTTGCAATCCCTCGGCTGGAACGCTCATCGCCACCTTTCGAGTCCGATTGCTCAACCAAGGTATCGTTTTCAAGCCGTCGAGAAATGCAAGAAGTCACTCGAGGGCAGCGTGGTCCAAGAAATTCCCAACGCCAGGGAACCCTTCAAACAGATCATGGCCGAAATGGTCTTGCTATGCACAGAAGCGATCAAACGCAGCCGGTCGGGAAGAACCGCATCGAAGCCTCTCTCTCTGGAATATATTGCTGATCGGCTGGATGTGGATGATCCTTGCTTTGGGTACGTCGTTCGGAGTGAGGAAGGGCACCTCCAGGGCTTCATAACCGTGACAACCTTTACCAATTGGCAGAAGACCTTCAGTTGGGACTCGCTACAGGAAATGTCCTTTTACTACGATGGTGACCTTGATAATGATGTTGATACCAGAAATGATGCCAACAACCACAAGGAACAAGGGGGCGGAAGCGATGGCGAAGGGAAAGGAAAGCAATCTGCAACAATAACACCCGTGAGGGGGACAACAGAAAATAATAACATAGGCAGTCAAAATACGAGCAATGCTGCGAAGAAAAAGGGTACGCCTCGAACGCCTCTTCTGCGCGGGAAAACCTCGAACAAACGAGGTCGGCGACCACAGAGACCGAAACGAATTATTGACGAGGACGGAAGTTTAGCAAAAGAACTCGAGAATACAGTCCGATTGGGAGATCCGTACAATGAAGGCATCGTGTGGCCTCGTATTGCTGAAATATCGCTGGTACGTAGAGTTCCATGTGTGGCGTGAGTTACGATTCAGAGTGGACTATCGCATAATTTTTTCCCGACTTAAGGTAGTCACTTGTCCCTTGAGTTATCACTATTTTTGATTGTAGAGAGGATTGGACTCAGATCTATCGAACAGATTACAACGCTATGACTGGTAGCTGCCATTTGCTTTCATTTTCTTTTCGAATCAACTAACCTACCTTTCTTTGTGTCATTTTACAGTTGGGGGCTCTTGGCTGCGGTAGAGTTCTAGTGCAATTAATTATTGAACAACTTGAATTTCAACGGGCGACGGGTTCCGCAAACTACGATTACATCGCATTGCAGGCAACAGACAATTCAATCCCCTTCTACGAATCGCTAGGTTTTGTAAGAGTTGGAGCAGTATGCTATGATACCAAACAAGAGCAGGATGGGGATACAGGCGATGGACGGGCCGACGGGGAAACCTCGTCGGAGAAAACGACAACAGGATTGGTGATGCCAAAGTCAATAGTTTCTAGTCCAAATTTTGTTCACGAGGTAGTCAAACCAGGGGAATCACCAAACGAATTATCCAAACGATTCAAGGTCTGTGTTTGGGACATCATATTTTTGAACAAGGATATTTATCCAGAACTGAGACCTACCAGCCGACTTATCAAGGGCACGCAGTTGTACGTCCCGAAGAGACAGGAAGAAAAGCCTTTATCAGCATCCCCAGTAGTCAACGATCTGGCTAGCACCTGTTCTACGCCAGGTCCCGAAACACCAACGAAGTGGTTTGTTGCGAAGGAAAACGATACACCACGCAAAATTGCGAAACAATTCGGAGTTGCATGCAACAAACTTGTAGCCGGAAATCGACGTCGACTGCCAGAATTGCAGGCCACAAGCCGACTAAGGGCGGGGACGAAAGTCAAAGTTTCAAACCTTGACCAACAGGACAAAATTTGCGAGCCATATTGTCATTGGTCTTTTCCAGAGGATACAGCTGTTGAGGGTGGAGATCCTAGTTACATGATGGTTTACAAATTAAATCGCAAGACAGCTCGTAGCCCTCGAACGGTCAGAGATTCCTTAGCTGTCCCTGTGAGCAAATACAGTCCTCCCAAGCTGCTATTTCCGGCACCGCCAAAACAGGTTACTGCATCTGGGTCCGGAGCTGAAGCTCCTGCTCCAGAACCTCAAATCAGGTCACTTCGTCTACGAAGCTCACAAAGCTCTAAGGAGCGAAGCATCGAGTTGAAATTCCCAAAGCAACCTAAACGGCCTGAAGAGCTTAAAAAGAAACCACCTGAAGACGGAAAACAGATATACTGGGACCACCAAAAAGAGTTACACCCGGAGCTCAACAAATCTACTCCCGAAAATGAGAAGACCATAAAAGATAGATGGAGTAGATTGGGAAATCATAAGAAGGAACGATATCACGGGGTTGCTGCCGAGGCAAGCAAAATTTACAAAAAGATCGAACAAGAATACAAGGGGAGACTGTCGGTTTGGAAGAAGGAATGTGATAAAATCAGAGAAGACCACGAGCTAGAGTTACAGCGAAAAGAGGCCGAGGCTGCGGCTTCTAGAGACAAAGAAAACTCTATGTTCAATAAAGTCGTCAAGCTTCGTGATGATGCACTAGACGGTAAAGACTACAAATATTGGTTTGTCCTTACCTTCATTCCAGACTTAAAATGGTGCCATCTGGCTCCAATGGTTCAAGAGGGGCATTTTGGACCAGATCGAAAGCGTTCTCATGGAAGACCYCGCTACCGTTTGGTTGACGAAAAGCTAGGTAAAGAGCTGGATATAAGCAGTTGCTTTTGTATCCCAGTTAAATCCAAGGCCTTAAAACGTACAGTAGATGCTGACAAGGAAGAATGGGATATCATTGATGGACCTGTTGAATTAGTGAAAGACGATGCGGTGACAGACACCATCTCAACGCTTTCAGAGAGTGCATGTGCCATCGGTTCGACTCGAAAGAGACTGAGCAAGCAACCTAAATTTCGAGCTCGAACTCCTGTGAAGCCCCTAAACGGAAAAATAGTGATCGGAGGTTCTGCAAGACATACTCAAGATCCTTTGAAACGAACCCGTGCCAGTCCTGCGTCGGGTCGTAAAAGACGGCTCGAAGAAATTCTGGCGGAGAAATCTTCAGGAAGCAAGATGACTTCCCCTACACGTGAACGAAAACGGCGCCGCTGTATGCGGTGCATTGAAAACGGTGGGTCGCCATCCCAGGCGGTTGAGTGTCTCGGCGCAAAGGGGCGTTTTGGGCGGGATGCATGCGAGTATTTTGATGCTAATGGGACAAGGAAAACATCATCCGGGATGATGGAGCTAACGAATACGGAAAATAGTGACGATGAAAGGAGGATAAGAACCAACGTTGTTGCACATTTGGAGAAGATCGAAGTCACGCTCGCGCCATCTCCGCCTCGAAGACCGAACCGCCGTCCCGATGCATCTGGATCAAAACCATCTTCACCGATGCGCCCCGCGTGGTCTTCACCAAGAAGGGACAGCGCCACTGAAAACAAAAACGGACCTCTCGAGGAAAAGAAAGACGACATAGAATCACGCGGGAACATTCAATGAAAGTCTCGTCGCCACGTCTGATGCATTCAACTCACGCAACAAAAATGCCGCCTAGTTGTGATGCAAATGATCACCTGAATTGAAATGTTCGCTCAATTGATTCGAAATAATTGCAAATTGAGTTTCTTTGGCATATCTGATGCATTTTAAACCAATTGGACCGCAAATCTTACTGAATGATTTAAATTGAAAATAATGGTTCGGGAAAAGTGATTGAGGATACGAAATCGACTGCAACAACATGGTTTGTCCTTTTAAATGCTACAAGATTAGGTTAGAATTAAATAAAGTAGATACAAAATACAAAAATAGTTTTCTGGATTTTCAAATTAAGTCTGCACTGCTCCACGCTACTACATGTTCGTCTGTTTTGCTCCTGTACCGTCGAATCTTAAATCGTTCTCTACTAATCCAGATCATATCAGTTGTTTCGGATATTGAATCAACTTGATTGCTTGTCCCTTTAGCAACTTGCCCTGCATTTCTCGGATTGCTGCCCGGGCATAGGCTGCGCTTGCAAACCGCACCACATAGGTCAGGGGAGGAGCTTTCCCGTCGTCCGTTCGGCCTTTCCATTTGATGATGGTTGGTCCCTTGGCGGTCAGCTCGTACCGCGACAGCAGGTGCCGCAGGAAATCCTCTGTGAGATCGGAGGGACAGTTTTCAAAGCGGACCATAGTGTCGTTCACGACCAGCATGGTCCTCGTATCTCTAGGGTCCATTTTGATTGGCGTAGGAACGTGTTCTTTTACCGTCGCAAACCTCCATCCAATACGGATGCTTCCCCTGACGCGGGCATTATTTGCAACGGACAGCAACGCGTTCACCATGGAAGGACTGGCGAGTTTTAGGTTCCAGCCCGTCGGTCGTCCAAACGGAGATAGAACTACGTGGGCCTTGACGACACGGAAGGACTCTACCCGTGTGTCGTCAGTCTCATCATCGCTACTGTTGCCAGGGTTGGGGTCGTTGCCGTCCCCATCGTCGGGGATACCACCCCTAACGTCGTTGTCGAGAGCATACTCGGGCCGATCGTCTCGCGGTGCGTCGGGAGTACAGTAAGTGATTTCGGACACAAGGGGAGGATCCTCTTCCGTTGGATTCCAGTCCGCATCTAAATCCACGACCCCGCCGCCGCGATTGTTTCGATTCGCAGCCGGATCGAACAGTTCCTTCCTAAGGGTCCCCTCGACCGACTCGAGGATTTCGTCCAGACTGGTCATGGGGAAAGCTCCAAAGAGCTGAACCCAATCGCTCTCGGGGAGGCCTGCCGAGCCATTCGGATCCAGGTGTTGCCGACAAGGCAAGCGCTCGTTCCGAAATCGCCTCGGTTTGGGTCGGTGTTGCTGTTGTTGGTGTTTCGGATTCCGGCGGTGGTGCGGGGTCCGTTTCCCCTGTGATGAAGACGGTGGCAACCAGAAGGGAGCCCGCCATTTTTTCGCTTGTGGCAACGATCGTGGCGAATCGTCTCGCCTTTTGGCCTCGGTGTCGTGCTTGTCTTTCAGTTTCATTTGGTGCTGTGGCTGTATTTGTTGTATTGGTTCATCGTTTTGCGGTTCGTCGGTCGTTTCTGTTTCGTTGTTGCTTCTCGATTGGATCAACGATGCTGTTKGGGAGGACGACCCAAGCCATCTCCAGAGGCCAGGCGGCGGGGACGAGGCGACCGCTRCCCTTTCCTTCAGTCGCACATTCCGTGCCAGGGAAGCGGGCCCCCGCGATGCGGTAGCAGCCGCAATGATGATTCTCCGGGGGAACATTCTTTTTGTCCTGGAATAGAATGCTTTGAATCAGTCACACTCTACGGCGCCAAAACGATCGATCTGTGATCGGTGCAGGAACCGAATCTGGTCTGATGTATTGCAACMGGGCCTACTGGAAATCAGAAGCACAGTGCTCTCGTGAGGCGAGGTTTGAAGTCGACCGCATCGAAGAATTTACATGTAGCATCTGAAAGGAAGATGCGAATGTGGAAAGGTTTTGATTTTGATATGGTCTGTGAAAGGTCTCTAGATGAGATTGAAAACAGAAAACCGATGGATGGAAGATAGAAGTCCCCCTTTTGTGTACTACCCCCGAAACGTTGAGTCACGGAACGCTGAAACTCAACCGATCACTACTAGTACTTCTAACTCGTATGGTACATGGGTAATGGTACGGTACGAACGTACTGGCAGATCAAACAACACAGCTGATCTAAAAATGCTCGATGCCCAGATAGAGTGTCAAAAGTTGCTGCAGAAAAATAGGTTACCGACCGTTACGACGCGAAAGCTACAACCAACTACGTGCCGTTCTGTGCGGGTACGAGTACTACGGTACAAGTCATTCATTATTTTTCAAATTCACCTCCGGGCAATCCTGTTCCTTGTGACGTTGGACACATAGCCAACTAATGCTATCGGATAGCCGGTTTTAAATCAAAAAGCGAAGAGGACAGCACAAATCCGATCGATTCRAAAAATGGCTTCCCAAGAGGTACGTAGTTTCCGTCTCRTGCCTGTTTGTCGAGCTCAGACGAGCATTGGATGCTGTCGCTGTGATCTTTTGGAKGGCACTCGTGCGGTACGTATTCATCTAATGGAATTTTGCTTGTCGATCGATCGACTGGTCATCCGTCGTTTGCGTTTGTCTCTATGCTCCTCGGGCGATTCCAATGTCGGTTATTCCTGTTCCGAATGTAGCAGAAACCGAATCGTTTCGGTATGAGCATGAATATGAATCTGGCCTCCCTGAGAGAAAAGGCCTCGGAAATCGGAAGCAATGTGAAATCGTCGGTGGGTGAAATAAAAAACAACGTGGCCGACATCAAGAACAATGTGGCCGATGCGGCCGCTAGAAACGCGGAGATGAGGCGGTCGAAGCACGGATTGTCGCTGTCGAAGCACGGCTCGAAGCACGGATTGTCGCTGTCGAAGCACGGCTCCAAACACGGCGCCCCTGCCCCTGCTCCCGATCCCGCTACCCCGGCAGCATCGGGTGGCCCCACCAGCATCGCAACGGCCAGCAAAGAGGAACTSGTAGAGGTCCTGACCAAAATGAACAAAAAAGTCAAGGCCCTCAGCATGATTCGCACGCAAATGACCGAAAAGTTGCAAACGACGGAGCAAGAGCGGGACCAGCTTAAATCGCTGGTCATCAATTCCTCGGTCATGACCAAGCGCCCGACGCCGCTGGTTGACGGCGACGACGCAAACAACGGAAGTTCAACGCCGACCACAATGACAGTAGCGGAGTTGTCCAAGTTGTGGAAGGTAATGGAAAGCCAGGAGGAACAGGAAGTCTTGGCGCTCAAACAGGCCTTGTCGCAATCTCCGCCTCCACAAAAACAAAACGGATCCAGCAATGGCAGCGATAGTGCATTAGAGTCGCTGACACAACAACACCAGAAGGAGATTGTCCAAAAGGACGAAATAATCGCCAGGCTTCGAAGCAATAGTCAACAACAACCCGCGACGGACGAATTGAAACAAAGACACGCCGCCGAAATCGAGAAGCTTAAAAAAGTAGCGGCGCTGCAACTCGCCAATTTCAAGAAAAAGGTTGCGGCAGCACGATCTCTAGAACTCRAAAAGGTCAAGAAGGAATCAAGGGAGGAAGCAGAAAAAGAATTCGCTGCCAACCAGCCGGCATCGATCACAGCGGCAGGTGGTGATTCAGCTTCCGTTGAGGCCGTTGAAGAACTCAAGCAACAACACGCTCTCGAAATCCAATCGTTACAACAAAAGTTGGGAACAGAATACAAACGAAAACTAGAAATGGAGCAAACTGAGGCACGTCAAAAGGCAGAACAGAACCATCACAAGCAGGTTGAGGAACTCAAAACCCAAATGGCACAGGCCGTCGAGAATGCGAAAAAAGAAGGAGCGGAAGAATCCAACAAATCAACCAACGAACAGATCAATAAGTTGTTGTCCACGATGAAACTGCAAACAACCGAACATGAAGCAGAACTTGCAAATATCGAGAAAGAGCACGAACGAAAGCTACAACAAAGCATAAAAGAAGTAGAGGCCACGGCTGCAGAGAACTTGTCGCAATCGCAAATCAAAGATTCTCAAGTGCATCAACAACAACTGGACGCAAAGATAAAAGAGTTGCAAACCCAACACAGTGCTCAACTTGAAGCAAAAGAAAAAGAATGGGAAACAAAATCCCAAGAACAGCTGAAACGGGTCATCGAAGAAGGTGCGAAATCCAAGAACGAACAGGAGGTTGCGGCCAGCGAAAAAATGGTGCAAGAACACAACGCACAGCTGGAGAAGCTTCGATCCGAGTTGACACAACAATTCGAGACGGAGAAGACAAAGCTGCAGGAAGATTCTCAAAAATCACTCGAAGAGGAACAAAAGAMGCTGCAACAATCCACAATTGAATTCAAAGACCACTTGGAGAAACAAAAAAAGCAACTCATTGAGGAATCCCAAAGGAATCTGGCGGCTGCTCTCGAGAAAAAGAAAGCCGAACTTGAAGCCGCCAGTGCTGAGGAGAAAGCCAACCTTGTTAAGGCTAGCGAAGACGGAAAGTCGAACGCACTGAATGCGCTCAAAGAAAAGTTTACCGCTCAAGCCAAGCAGTTCCAAACGACATCCGCCCAGAAGCTCAAAGATGCCGTTGCTGCTGCCAAGAAGGAAACCGAGGCATCTATACGGGAATTGATGGAAAAGGAAGTCAARGAAATTCAATCAAAGCTACAAGCAGAGACGGCAAATCACGAGGCTTCATTGCAGCAACTTCAGAGCGAAGCGGCGAAACAAATGGAAGATGCCAACAACAGGGCATTATCTTCTGCAGAAAGATCTTTGGAGGAGAATGCGGCAAAGYTGAAGGCTGCTCAGGAAGAGTTGACGAAGGTTGAATCCCAGTCATCGGAGCAACTGAAAATAATGGCAGRTGCTCACAAGAAGGAAATTCTTGCATTAGAAGAAAGATGCAAAAAAGAGTCTGCAACAGAAAAGAAAGAAATGCAATTGTCGCATGCATCCGAAATTTCAAAATTGCGCGAATCTATGGATGCTGATTTCAAAGATCAAATTGAACAAATTAACAGGAAAGCGGCAGCCGATACAGAGAAGGCGGTGTCAAAAATTAGAATCGAGCTCGAAGAAGAAATGAATAAGCTCAAAGAAGCTTCGGACGAGACCAGAACAAAAGAAGTAGAAAAAGCCAGAGAAGACGGCAAACTAATGCTGAAGAAGTCGATCGAAGCGGCTGTCTCAAAATCAAAGGAAACAATTGATTCTATGAAGGACGAATTCGAGAAGAAGATCGAAACGCTGGAAAAAGAGACTGAGAAAATCAAGAGAGAGCACGCTTCCTCGATAGAAAACGGAAAGGACCTCGAGGGCAAGGTAGAGAATTTGCAGTCGAAAATTACTGCCCTTMAGGACGAAAAAGTAGCGATCCTCGCCTCTGCGAAGGATGGTGAAAGAGATTCACAAAAGGCAATAGAAGGGTCTCTTTCAAAGCAGAGAGAATCGTACGAGAAAATGATGAAGGATCAACAGGCACGACAAGCCGATAAATTACAGCAGCTTCAGACTAGTATCGAAGAACTTTCTGGATTCCGGGAGAAGTATACTCAACTGATGAAGGATCACAAGCTCACGGAACAAAGAAACGCCTCTAACGAAAAAGAAAAGAAATCGAAAATAGAGGAGTTGGAATCGAAAAGTGTTTCCTTGCAACGAGAACTTGAGTTATCAAAGTCGAAGCTGCAGGAAGTAGAAAAGGAGGCATCAGAAACGTCGAAAGCACTCGAAGTAAAGAATTCAGAGTTGTCCCAGGAAATCCAAAAGCTGTCAGAAGAGCTTGGGGAAGCATCAAAGAAGATAATGGAGGAGCAAGACAAAGCCCAGAAGATGAGCACCGAGCTTCAAAACAAGCTGTTGGAGTCCGAAGGGGAGTCTTCGAAAATTTTAGCGACTTTCAGGGATAAAAATGCCACTTTAGTTGAAGAAAATCAGAAGTTGAAGGTCGACCTTGAGGAAATGAAGACATTCAAAGAAACCAACGATGTAAATAGCGGAAAGAAAATAGCAGATTTGAATGAAACACTGTCGCAGTTCAAGTTAGAAAAAGAACGATCAGAAAATGCCTTGATTGAGTCTCGAAAGAAAATGGAGCAAGACGTTTCTTCGCTCACTCAGCAAATTGAGAATCTCAAAGCAGAATTCGAGGAATCAGTCAAGGCACGAGAGGCTGAACAATCAACTTCATCAAAGGAGATCTCTGACCTGGAACGGCATCTGGATGAAGCACAAAAGCAGATTGTTAGCTTGAAGGAAAATCACCAGAAAGYGGTGGATGATATCAAATCCTCTGCTGTATCCGATGCTTCTATTGCCACAGAGAAGATCACTGAACTGCAGAACGTAATAGGTGAAAAGGACTCGATGCTCGAGAAAGCGGAGAAACAACTAGCGAGTGAGAAAGAGAATTATGAAAGGACAATCGAGCAACTCAAATCATCCACACAATCCGACACTTCTCAAACTACAGACAGAATTAATGCACTCGAGAAGACAATTCAAGACAAAACATCAGAACTCCAGGAATTGAAAAATCTTTACGCAAAGGCTGGAGAAGATCACGAAAGGGCGATCAACGATATAAAGTCATGTCTTGATTCCAACGCATCGGATAGTGCGGAAAAGATTAGTCAACTTCAGAAGGCCGTTGAAGAAAAGAGTTTTGAACTTGAAGAGATGGCAAAAGCTCAGACGAAAACCGAAGAAGATTATAGAAATGCTTTTACAAAACTGAAAGCAGCAACTAAGGTTACTGTCGAAAAGATGAATAATCTCAAGAAAGACATCGAAGACAAGAGCATTGAGCTTGAAGAAGTGAAAAATTCAAAAACGAAAGCGGACGAAGATCATCAAAAGGATTTAGTCAATTTGAAAGAGAACCTGAAATCAAGCGCCTCTGATGCGTCGCAAAAGTTACAAGAACTACAGGAGGCTATCGCAGCAAAAGACAAGCAGCTTGCAGATAGCAAGGCCAATCATGAGGCGAAAGTCGGAGTATTTATGGAGAAGCAATCATGCCTTGAAAAAGAAAAAATAAGCCTGGAGAATAAGCTCAAAGAAGCCGAGAGTCAAGACAACGACACATCAGAAAAGCTGGAAGAGGCATTGGGTGCATTGAGAATCGAAATGAAGGAACATCATGACCAAGAAATGACCAATGCGAAGGAGGTGCTCAATGCTGAAAAGGAAGAGCTGAAATCAAAGTTCGAGTCGCAAATAGCGGAACTTGCTTCCAAAAACAAGAAACAGCAAGAGACGCTTACTGAGAATCATAGCAAGGACATTGAAAACCTCAAGAAGAAGATGGCAGATCATGTGGACAAAATGAAAGATCAACTTAAGTCAAAGCTTGTCGAAGAACGGGCGAAATCCAAGAAGTTCGTAGATGAGGCAGATGCGAAGGACAAGAAGCGAGAAGAGCAAATGACAAAACTGGCAGGTCAGCTGAAGCAAATGAGTGAAGCTATCAAGAAAGAAAGGGACGAGAAGTTATCTCTGAATCGAACAATCAAGGAACAGAAATCTAAAGAACAACGTCTCACAATGGACTTGGCGGCTTCTCGTAAATCGCTTGACGAGACAATAGCTAATAGCGAGTCCGCAGCACAATCTCTGTTAGCAGAACAGGATAAGCTTAAAAGGACAGCACAATCGATGCAGGCGGAAACGGAAAAGAGCAAGTCTTTATTCAAGCAAAAATCGAACGAAGCCGAGGAACTCAGTGGTAAACTTCAAGCTCTCACTCAAAATCTTAATGCCATGGCTGAAGATATTAAGAAGAAAGAAATTGGTCTGGCCGAAAGCGAGAAACAGAAAGCAAAACTCTCTTCTAGTGAAAATGAAGTTGCCGAGTTGAGGCAGCAAATAAATAAACTCAAGCTGGAGCATACAAAGAACAGTCAACTTGCAAGCCGTCTACAGAGCGAAAAGGAAGCGAGCGAACGCAATCACGGTCAACGAACAGCCATGATGGGTATGCTGGAATCTCAACTTGCCGAGATAAACGAAAAGAACACTGCCGCCAATGCCAAGTTGGAGGCTGCACTCTACGACCTCAGCCAAAAGGACGAAATGCTCGAGTCCAAAGAAAATAAGTTGCAAGAAATCGAAGCCTGCCTTGTGAAGACTCAAAAAGAAAAGAATGCGGCTATTGAGCATTTGGCACAAGCTCAAAAGGGTGCTGCAAAAAAGAATTCAGTGCAATTGGAAAATCTCCAGCGCGAGCTTCTTCAATTCAAGCAATCTTCTGCAAGAAAGAGTGCTGCTGCGCAGAGAATGATCCAAGAAAACGAAGCCGAATGTGCCAGGCTTAGGACGGCGAACAAAAAATTACAGCAGGAAGTTGATAAGGGCTCTTTGAGTGACCGAAAAATATTTGAATTGGCTGCAATGCAAAGCAACCGGGATACAGCAAAGATACTGGATATTGAAGTTCGTGACAAGGCCCTAGCACGTCTTAACGAAGCGTTAACGGAACGAGATGGCGCGTTGGCATCTGCAGAAAAAAAAATCGACGAAGTCGAAGATCAGGTGGCAGAGCTCGGTCGTATACAACGAAGAGAAGATGTAAACATGGATTACTTGAAAAGTATCGTAGTACAATTTTTGTCGAAGGCACCTGGTACAAGCGAGCGAGCTGCACTTTTGCCAGTTCTAGCGACACTCTTACAATTTGATGAGAATGACTATGGAATGATTGAGCAAGGAAAGAGCAAGATATCGTGGTGGGGGAGCGTGGAACCAGTGGAAATTGGGAAAGGGAGTGCACAAAATGCAGCATCTTCCACCGATTACCTTTTTGGGTTAACTTCATATATTTCAGGAGCCCCGGCACCTGCTCCTTCTTCGGCAGGGCCTACTGCCTCAGCAGAAGTAAGCATTTCGAACCAAGTTGCTTCAACTCCATCTGGTAGAGGAACTTCACTACAGTTTTAGAAGCCTTAAACAAGATCATGCGGCTAGATAATAGCGAACGCACTCCCAGTAGTACGATCGTGAATGTTTGATCGACTATTTGGCTGCATTTGTAGTATTGATCAAAGATTAAAAACTACTATCTCCGTTCCTAAATAATGGTACAGTTTGCCCTACTCTGATTTTTCCAAAATAATGGTTCAGTATGCTATGTTCCTGTAGAATGTTAGAAGAACTACTACAAGTACAGTGTTATCATTCACATTAAAGAGTACCATTACTACTATGATGATTATTAGTACCACCAGCATCAGCAAAATTGGTTGGTGTAATATTATTAAAGTTTGCCAGTACTGAACATGCAAACACAAGTTTTGCTGGATCACAAGTTATAGATACTGGAAGCTGGCCCAGACAACAAGCTAGCTTTGCTTTCCCCATGTGTTGAATTTTATATGTGATGTCTCCATCAACACCAAGTGATTCCTCCGTTGCACACTGCAGAGGAGACAGAAAGACATTGTTTGGTAGTAGGGTCTCAAGCTTGGCTTCTGCAAATGCAGCAATTTACCCCACATTGGCAATCAATGTGTCCATATTAGATGACCACTTCTTCTTGCTCTGAATGCTCTGGCTAGAATTGAACAATCCTGAATCAGGAAGATAAAGTCTGCACTATTTGGTGGTTGTGTCTTCACAACAATATTCCAATTGTTATCATGTGCTGCAGCTGCTACAGCTGCTCTGTTGTTCAGTGTATGTGGCTTTACAGCATAGTTATCCTGAATGATACAACTTGGAACATCTGCATTAACCCTTGGAATTCTCTTAAATGGCTGGTGCAACTTTTTCAATCACAAGGTTCCTGTACATTTCTTCATTGGCATTAATAGGGTGGTGCTCCACTGTGATTCTGGGGCAATTTACAGAAGATCTCTGAGCTGGTCTATATTCCACAATAGGCCATAAACCAAGCTTTCCATCAAACCAAGCATTCCTTCTGGGATCAAATCTGGGCCTTGCTGTTGCACATAGGAACATTATCTTCTTGATGTGCTGCTTTGGAGGTGTCTTGCCAACTGGTTCAAGCTCTTCATCAATTAGATACACCACATTGCTTGTTACTTCCTTCATGAAGAACCATTTCTCATCAACATGCACCTTGTCATACATTGCATAAAAGACACCATTGTCATCAATTTGAGATAGAGCAAATTTAATCCTTACCACCATTCTGTTTGCTTCTTTTAGGAAAGGCTTCAACAATGTACAATTGTATCTCTTAATTGTTCCACGCCAAATAAGACAGTGTAGGCTGGTCTCTGAAGTATTGATGATTGTGGCCGACATGGTCCTCAGATCTCCTCTTTGCTTGTACAGAATAGTTCTGATTGTTTCAAGAAGTGGCTTCCTACTATCACACTTGGGGGACCTGTTGCTTGACACATCAACGGCTGGGCATGTTTTATCATCCTGAGGTTCCTTGTTGTATCATTTCCAGATTTGTGCACAAGTTCTAGGGGAAACTTTGAATGCTTCAGCAGCGTTCTTGAAAGCAGCCTTACAAGTTTGCCATTCTGTTTCTGATGTGGAAGCAGTCTATGTAGAATAGCCTGTCTTTGATTGTTAGTCAAATTGCATCTTGAGGGAGGAGTTACAATGGTTCTTGCAGTACTAGCAGGAGCCAACTCTCTTGGCTCAAGGAGATCTCTTGCACCTGTTACTGTAGCCATCGTGTTGGTTGGTGTGTGTTTGCTTTAGAAAGGAGCAGCATGCAAAACAGTGAGGGAATGAAAGAATGAAGAAGCAAGGAGCATAATTTTAGTACCAGGATAAAACTCTCAGTCTCAGCTCCTTTCTATAGCTTTATTTTGCATCTGTAGAGCCCAACTGAAGGTAAAATCACATTGATATGCCAAAATGGGCCCTGTTTGAATAGCTATTGCAAGTACATCAGACACTTTCACTTACTGCAATCTTCATAACTGTATATGTTTAAAATTGGCTACTACTACGTGAGTAGAAGTAAGTGCTGTATGTAATGTAATGTATTTTCCTACTGTACATATTCCGTACTGTACGGAACTTCAACTGTTGCGGTCCTTTGTCTCTGACACGTGCTTGTCAACAAGTTTGTACAACAAGTTCTAGGAGTAACTCGTACCATACTACTTACCGTGCCCTAATGTTCAGGGACATTTTGAAATGACACATTACTACTGCATACTCTTAGCTACTGGAGCCAAGACTAGTCTGACTAAGTCAAAAAGCAGTAATGGTTTCCACATGGAACAGYACTGTTATGGTTGATTTTTGAACAGCATTTGCGCATTGATAGTGAAGAGGGGTTCCTGGGAAACAGTTTCAATAATTACAAAAAAAAGTAGATTTAAGGTAGAAATAAAGTATCTTCAAAGTAGCTTTTCGTTGCATGATATTCTATATATATATATATATATTGATGAATAATATGATTTCTACTTAGGGGAATCAGGAAATTACTTCAAAGCTAATTTAAATCTACTTTCAGGTAACTCTCCAGTAACTTTCCGGTAACTTTCAAGTAGCTTTCTGGTAGGATGAAAAATGGAGGGGAAAAATTAGTTTCCTGGATCCTCCAATATTAGTCAAGAAGGTAACCAATGGTTCGTTATAGTACTGTACGTGCAATCAAGGATGAGCGCCTACTATTACTTTTTTTTTTGACTTACTAGTCAGACTAGTAGATGTGGCTCCAGTAGCTTAGTAGAGTATGCAGTAACTTGTAGTTTTGTAACGTCCCTGCAGTTTGAAACGACAACTTCGCATGTTCGTTGTTACATTTAGGTTCTTTGTAGTAGTAATCTTGTTGTAGTACAGTACTAATTTACTGTACTAGGTACTACGCGTTGCAGATAAATTGAAACTACATTTCACAGGGCATTCCAAATGTTAGAAATAAAGTTCCATATGGTCATGTTAATTTAGTAACATTCCAAATGTTAGCAGCGTAGGCTATCATGTAGAAATGAGTACTGTGGTTTTTGCTTCAATTTAACATCCTGGATGCTCTGCTTAACAGTCTGAAAGGTAGCATGGGAGGCATCCTCTTCTTCCTCTTTTTTAGATCCCTTCTTCCTTTTTTAGGCACCTGCAAGACTGAATGAAGAATGTGGATAATACTTGGATCTACGTAGGCCTCAGTGAAAATTTAACATTCCATACCATACGGTACCGGTACCGCATTTTTGCAACTGATATTGCAAAACGTTCAAAATTGGTGCGCAACGTACTAAAGCTACAGTACTCTTACTGGACCCACTCTATATTCCACCGTACTTACATGTTTTACATATTTTGTGGTAGGGATTCTACTGTGCAACCGTATTAGCTTTTCCGTTTTGGTTGCATCCTCCGTACCTATTTTGGTTGCCAAAAAGAGTCAAATTTGTATGGAAAATGCAACCGTTTTGCAACTCCCACTCAAATACTGTATTCACTCCCGGAGACTCAGATTTTTCTTTATACTACTACTATTCAGTTCTTTGCTCACGAAATGAAGCTCCTAATAAGCAAATCAGCAAGCAACTGATACGGAGGCTCACTGATACGAGTTGCTGATACGGTGTCCGCTAATACAAGCCGTTGATACGAGCCGCTAATACGAGCCGCTGATACGAGCCGCTGATACGAGCCGCTGATACGGAGGATGCTGATACGGAGGATGCTGATA